TCACGCGTAGATACCTACTACACCGTAGTTGCGCCAGGCGGGAAGTGTCACGCGTAGATACCTACTACGACGTGGTTGCGCCAGGCTGGAAGTATCACGCGTAGAGACCTACTACACCGTAGTTGCGCCAGGCAGGAAGTATCACACGTAGATACCTACTACACCGTAGTTGCGCCAGGCGGGAAGTATCACGCGTAGATACCTACGTCACCGTAGTTGCGCCAGGCGGGAAGTATCCCGCGTAGATACCTACTACACCGTAGTTGCGCCAGGCGGGAAGTATCACGCGTAGATACCTACGTCACCGTAGTTGCGCCAGGCGGGAAGTATCACGCGTAGATACCTACTACACCGTAGTTGCGCCAGGCGGGAAGTATCACGCGTAGATACCTACGTCACCGTAGTTGCACCAGGCGGGAAGTATCACGCGTAGATACCTACGTCACCGTAGTTGCACCAGGCGGGAAGTATCACGCGTAGATACCTACTACACCGTAGTTGCACCAGGCGGGAAGTATCACGCGTAGATACCTACTACAAAGTAGTTGCACCAGGCGGGAAGTATCACGCGTAGATACCTACGTCACCGTAGTTGCACCAGGCGGGAAGTATCACGCGTAGATATCCACTACACCGTAGTTGCGCCAGGCGGGATGTATCACACGTAGATCCCGACGTCACCGTAGTTGCGCCAGGCGGGAAGTATCACGCGTAGATACCTACGTCACCATAGTTGCGCCAGGCGGGAAGTATCACGCGTAGATACCTACGTCACCATAGTTGCGCCAGGCGGGAAGTATCACGCGTAGATACCTACGTCACCGTAGTTGCACCGGGCGGGAAGTATCACGCGTAGATACCTACGTCACCGTAGTTGCACCAGGCGGGAAGTATCACGCGTAGATACCTACTACACCGTAGTTGCGCCAGGCGGGAAGTATCACGCGTAGATATCTACTACACCGTAGTTGCGCCAGGCGGGATGTATCACACGTAGATCCCGACGTCACCGTAGTTGCGCCAGGCGGGAAGTATCACGCGTAGATACCTACTACACCGTAGTTGCGCCAGGCGGGAAGTATCACGCGTAGATATCTACTACACCGTAGTTGCACCAGGCGGGAAGTATCACGCGTAGATACCTACGTCACCGTAGTTGCGCCAGGCGGGAAGTATCACGCGTAGATACCTACTACACCGTAGTTGCACCAGGCGGGAAGTATCACGCGTAGATACCTACTACACCGTAGTTGCACCAGGCGTGAAGTATCACGCGTAGATACCTACGTCACCGTAGTTGCACCAGGCGGGAAGTATCACGCGTAGATATCCACTACACCGTAGTTGCGCCAGGCGGGATGTATCACACGTAGATCCCGACGTCACCGTAGTTGCGCCAGGCTGGAAGTATCACGCGTAGATACCTACGTCACCGTAGTTGCGCCAGGCGGGAAGTATCACGCGTAGATACCTACGTCACCATAGTTGCGCCAGGCGGGAAGTATCACGCGTAGATACCTACGTCACCGTAGTTGCACCGGGCGGGAAGTATCACGCGTAGATACCTACTACACCGTAGTTGCGCCAGGCAGGAAGTGTCACGCGTAGATACCTACGTCACCGTAGTTGCGCCAGGCTGGAAGTATCACGCGTAGAGACCTACTACACCGTAGTTGCGCCAGGCAGGAAGTATCACGCGTAGATACCTACGTCACCGTAGTTGCGCAAGGCGGGAAGTATCACGCGTAGATATCTACGTCACCGTAGTTGCGCCAGGCGGGAAGTATCACGCGTAGATACCTACGTCACCGTAGTTGCACCGGGCGGGAAGTATCACGCGTAGGTACCTACTACACCGTAGTTGCGCCAGGCGGGAAGTGTCACGCGTAGATACCTACGTCACCGTAGTTGCGCCAGGCGGGAAGTATCACGCGTAGAGACCTACTACACCGTAGTTGCGCCAGGCAGGACGTATCACGCGTAGATACCTACGTCACCGTAGTTGCGCCAGGCGGGAAGTATCACGCGTAGATACCTACTACACCGTAGTTGCGCCAGGCGGGAAGTATCACGCGTAGATACCTACGTCACCGTAGTTGCGCCAGGCGGGAAGTATCACGCGTAGATACCTACTACACCGTAGTTGCACCAGGCGGGAAGTATCACGCGTAGATACCTACGTCACCGTAGTTGCGCCAGGCGGGAAGTATCACGCGTAGATACCTACTACACCGTAGTTGCACCAGGCGGGAAGTATCACGCGTAGATACCTACTACACCGTAGTTGCACCAGGCGAGAAGCATCACGCGTAGATACCTACGTCACCGTAGTTGCGCCAGGCGGGAAGTATCACGCGTAGATATCTACTACATCGTAGTTGCGCCAGGCGGGATGTATCACACGTAGATCCCTACGTCACCATAGTTGCGCCAGGCGGGAAGTATCACGCGTAGATCCCGACGTCACCGTAGCTGCACAAGGCGGGAAGTATCACGCGTAGATACCTACTACACCGTACTTGCACCAGGCGGGAAGTATCACGCGTAGATACCTACTACCAGGCGGGAAGTATCACGCGTAGATCCCGACGTCACCGTAGTTGCGCAAGGCGGGAAGTATCACGCGTAGATACCTACTACACCGCAGTTGCGCCAGGCAGGAAGTATCACGCGTAGATACCTACTACACCATAGTTGCGCCAGGCAGGAAGTATCACGCGTAGATACCTACTACACCGTAGTTGCACCAGGCGGGAAGTATCACGCGTAGATACCTACTACACCGTAGTTGCGCCAGGTGGGATGTATCACGCGTAGATATCTACTACAAAGTAGTTGCGCCAAGCGGGAAGTATCACGCGTAGATACCTACTACAAAGTAGTTGCGCCAGGCGGGATGTATCACGCGTAGATATCTACTACAAAGTAGTTGCGCCAGGCGGGAAGTATCACGCGTAGATACCTACTACAAAGTAGTTGCGCCAGGCGGGATGTATCACGCGTAGATACCTACTACACCGTAGTTGCGCCAGGCGGGAAGTATCACGCGTAGATACCTACGTCACCGTAGTTGCGCCAGGCGGGAAGTATCACGCGTAGATACCTACGTCACCGTAGTTGGGAGTTCTTAAAATGAAATGAGAGTGACTTAATCCGGACATGTTTTAACCAATCGCCTGTCACATTCTGTGGCTTACTCATGTTTCGTAATGTAGATATCCATGCAATTTGTTCATTGTGTTTTTTAAAAGAGCTAAAATGTTTTGGGAAAATATGACTCATTTATCTATAGTTACCCGGTCTTCTATATTTTGTAATAATAAACTTGCGCATTGAGCGATTATCTCCTTTAGCTATAGGCGTAGTATGGAGCTTTATCACGCACTGACCTTGCAATGCCGTACATCGTATCTTATTCAACCAGTGTCGCTGAGAGTGAGTGATTACCTCCCTTACCCGAATAGCTCTATTGCGCACTATTTTTGCAATGTATCGTATGTTATTCAGGCAGCCAACAAGAAAGGTTCCAGGGAGGAATTCAGGTCAAGCATGTAATGCTCTCAATCTTTCGCTCTTCACACTGCTATTGTAACTTATTGCTCAACACGACTAAATACCAGGCTTCTATCATGTATGACTCTATTCAATAAACAACACATGTAAAGCAACGAGCGCCAGACAGGGTAACAACAAGTACCATCTTTTAACGTATTTTGGTATGACGTGGCCGGGGATCGAACCCCGGAACTTCCGCTCTCCGGGAGGACGCTCTACCACTGGACCACGGAGGCGGTCGTGTTTCTTTGGAGCATGATGCTCATACACATAGTATTTTTTGTTATTGTGGGCAGCACTTAGTGATTGTTTGAGTACCAGGTAATGATAAAACCTTTGTTAATAAATAATTTTAAGCAATGCTACGGTATGGCAGGAATTGCTCAAAACGAAGTTGCCAGACATCATAATGTTTATTCAAACACAATATAATCTCTTTGGAGAGGTTATGTACAACAGAGCAACACTCATGAATGGCGTTCCAACAAGACAACCGTATTCGGTTGGTGCCACCACGTTATCGATACCAAACTGCCACATTAACAGCTCGGACAATTCCTTGGTTGATACTATTTGTTTGTTTCTTGTTTAACGCCGCACTCAGCAATATTCCAGCTATGACGGCGGTCTGTAAATAATCGAGTCTGGACCAGACAATCCAGTGATTGACATCATGAGCATCGATCATGACGATGATATATACATATCAACCAAGTCAGCGAGCCTGACTACCCGATCCCGTTAGTCGCCTCTTACGACAAGCATAGTCGCCTTTTACAGCAAGCATGGGTTGCTGAAGACCAATTAGTGGCAAAACCGTACGCAACCGGTTGAGGGAGCACAGCATCCGGCCCCGACGTCCAGCGATACGCCCAGTTCTGTTTCCACGTTACCGTCAGGCTCGCCTAGCTTGGTAATGAAAGTATCCGAGGTCCAGAAGAGAACACTGGGACAGTATACACTTCACAAGTGATTCTAGGTTTCATCTCGTCTGTTGGTTGTGCAAGGGTCTGTAAGCGTCTAGGAGACCGTTTAACGAAGCTTGCGTTACTCAACGGCGTTAGTGTAATGGTATGGGGTGACATCACAACTCATGGGAGACAAACTATGGGAGAACACAACACACTGGATTGTCTGGTCCAGACTCGATTATTAACAGACCGCCGTCATATAGCTGGAATATTGCTGAGTGTGGCGTTTAACAACAAACAAAAACAAACAAACCTTATAAATCATGTGTCAATACCATTCTGAAGACGGATAGTGACAATATTGTTTGAAGTGTAATAAAATCCCCGCATTATTTGCGGGATTGTGAATAGAAGATTTATGAACAGTTTAACATGATTAAATGATAACTAATGCCAGAAAGACGTCTTATACTCAAAATGAAACCGTATCGAGACATAATTCTTTAAATTAAACGTATATTTATTTGATCTTACCAAGAATCCAGTGCGGGAGGCGAAGAGACTGTCTGTATTCCTTGGCGTGAAGAGGAGCGAGGAATACCTGGAGCACGTGTGTCGCACGTGCAGCTTTGACAACATGAAGGCAAATGCATACAGAAACAAATAGCTCTACAACACAAGATGGAATAACTTTTCTCTGATTCTTCAACTATTTCTGCAAATCCCCAAAGTGAACCTCTTGTTTATGAGGTGTAGATAGATTCTGAAATGAAAAAGTGTCTTTTATTAGTCAAGCTATGCACAACATTTCAAAAAAATATCATACCATTTACATATATATTTTTGTCATTAAATCTGGAGGGATACTTATATAAGAAGTAACTTGTATTGATGATATATGCATAATTTTTATTACATGTTAATAATTCAATAAATACCAAAACAGTTTATAGTTCTATCATGGAACTGTTCTGGATGAACAATACCTTCCAAATGACGTGCTGGTTTTCTTGGGGAATTAGTCAGCAAAGAGCAAGAGTCACAGGAGACTAATCACAATTTTATTTACAAGAACAATTAACAATTTACAATATACTTAGATAATAACTGAGGGTGCCACAGAGAGTCGGTACACACTCTGGGCTGTGGGAGAGAGGTCTGCTTGGTAAGAGAGTCAAACCCCTTCTCTGTCTAAAACCTGGCTACAGTATGTATTTAACAAACATTTGAACAATAAAAAGGAATAGGATTGGTTGATACACGATTGGTTGTGCCCTATGCTAAATGGATGGCTAGCCAGAGGGGAATACTAAATCCTGTTAATCCTGTTGGACTGGCACTAATGGGGGCTCATCCTTAATGCCCTATAGACGAGCTTGTATGGGGGCTCATCCTTAATGCCCTATAGACGAGCTTGTATGGGGGCTCATCCTTAATGCCCTATAGACGAGCTTGTATGGGGGCACATCCTTAATGCCCTATAGACGAGCTTGTATGGGGGCTAATCCTTAATGAGTCTTAATTGAAGTAATGTTATTCTAATATACCCTGGTAGGTGATGACAGATATACTTAAATAGAATAGTTCCAGGTAATCTATAAGACTATGTAGACATATCCTTTGTCTGGGAGATGGGATCTTGACACCTTCGGCTAGCATTTATCTAAAAGCTTCTAATCTATTAAACTATGTAGACGTAACTCTTGTCTTATTGAATAGTATGTCTAGATGCGTTCCCATTACCTTAGGCTAGCATCTATCTAAAAAGCTATAACTGAAACTACTGATATTTTATATATACATTTTACCGGATGATAAATATTACTTGCTAAACTATAATTATATGAAATGATGTATAAATATTACACCATGATAACTCATAAAAGCACTTGATGTGGATCTAATTATTATAGGATAACTTAGTATAAATGTTATCCCATGATAGTTCTATCATGTTGACATGATGTGTTTATAACTGTAGGTTTGAATACTTCTTGAAATATTGCGGGCATGTTTCAATATCTCTGATGTTATTTAATAACCTTACATGTTACATATGCTTTCACAACTTGCTGGCAAATAAACATTTATGGTACTCGAATCTCTTATTTTACTTGTCAGATTTGTTTGTTGTGCATGATAGATCTTAAAATGCATAATAAAATTAATTGATGAAAGTAAATCATATTATATGTTTTCTAAACTTTATTTCAAGTGTTAATATAAAAAAGGGTGGTGGGGTAGCCTTGTGGTGAAAGCGTTCGATCGTCACACTGAAGACTCAAGTTCGATTCCCCACATGGGCACAACATGTGAAGCCCTTTTCTGGTGTCCCCCAGTTGTGATATTGCTGGAATATTGCTAAAAGCGGGGTAAAACCCTACTCACTCACTCATATAAAAAAATGATTGCATATTTCATTTGCATTTTAGGGGGTGGTTGTTACAGATGTTTTGCTCAAAAGGTCAGGTTGGGAGGTCCAAATTTCCAAACAAAGATTTACAATTTCAAATATTTTTCACTAATATTCAACAAGTTTTACTTATAGTTTCTTAGATAATTTATATGTATTGATTGTGACAGTAAATGAGCTTTTTGTAAACATTTTACATTATCTGGTCCACTCAGTTAAACAACCCACTGTTTTTAATAATTAATTATATATTAGATATTTCTTCTTTTTTATAGTTTCTAAACATTTCTTTTTTAAATCTGGCCCCATAATAGATGATAAATAGTTTCCCTGCAAAGTTGCAATGCATTTTCTATGAATGTTTGTTAGAACAAACCAATAACCAATTATCTAATAAATAGAATAAGATACTGTAGGCCTACTGCAGTAACTGGTTTCAAACACTAAACAAAACAATTGAGTGATCTATCTTTTCACTTTCAAATGGGGACGGTGTGAAGTGTGAAGTACGACATCCAATTATTTATCAATAAATATGGCAGGTATTTTGAACTCGGATGGGAAAAAACCAAAGAGAATCTTTTTTTCCCCCAGTACGTTACCACTCGGCAACCGACTTTAGAAACGTACTGGGACGTACCCCATTTTCGTGTTACTCTAAGCATATGGTCTCGTCATCAGCTATTGTGTAATCTTGTTGAGACAACGTTTGGCGACAGATCGTATTTGTTTCTTGATATTGGCAAGTAGCATTGATCTGTAGCCTATAGGTGGTGGGAATAGTTACACCCAATACAGACAAACTCAGATTGACGACAATGCCGATACCGGCGATAGGGTCGTAACAGGGTGGTACAGGATGAATAGGCCTGCTGACGAAGCATGCGGGTCACCAGGCGTGTCAAAAATCTCTTAGAATATTACATTTCCGCTTCTAAAAACGTAATAATGAGCATATAGGTAATTTAGGTATACACACATCAAAGTGTTATTCTTACCACGTTGTGTCACTGGTAGGCCTAATTGTGTAGATGTCGAGTCGGGGTCGGGTGACAAATTAGGTGATGTGGGTCTTCTCTTGTTTCCACTTGATTTTCATCGTTTCCATACCGCGAAGCTTGCTCGTTTTGGTTCCAAATCGTATGGTTTTGCGAATTCTTGAAGGGTCAAGGGAACTTCTTCGGACCAGGCAAGGTATCGGATGCCATGTTGTCTCACCATAAACTGGTTCTTGATATCTTTTGCGTTGTGACAAGACAGGGACCCAGTTAAATTGGCATCAATTACGTCATAATCTAAGGGGGATAACTCAGGCCTGTTTAGCTCGGAAAACGAAGGCCTCATAACGGCATGACATTTTCACACTTATTGTGAGCTCGCTACATTGACTGTGAGAAAAATGAGTGTATATTTTCAAACATTGACACGAACTAATTCTAAAATTCCGTTTTGTTTAAAATAAGAAAGAAAGTGATTTTTGCGTGTACACTTCCCCTTTAAACCATGTTTCTATGTAAACTTGTAATTACAGACCACTAAAGCACGCGCCTCAGAGGCGAATCATAGTTATATTGAGCTATATTACAACACACAGGAGGCGGTCGAGTAGCCTAGTGGTTAAAGCGTCCGCTCGTCACGCCAAAGACCCGGGTTCGATTCCCGACATGGATACAATATGTGAACCCCATATCTGGTGTGTCCCGCCGTGATATTGCTGGAATATTGCTAAAAGCGGCGTAAAACCATACTCACTCTCTCATTACAACACACAGGGGCGTAACATTAATAAAGCCCCGGCCAACGGATTAGTGCGCACTCGCTGATTACTTAGATCCGTTATTTTAAAATAGCTTCTCAAACCATGTATAAAGTGACTCCATTTAGTTATTACGCAGCTTAAAAATATACTTGCACCTTTCTCGTTGACGATATCAATCCATCCGGCTTCGTTTGTGAGAAACTGATCTTCGCATCACAACGTGTTGAAAACGTATTTCGTCAATTAACACTCCGGATCCGCATTAATTTCAGTTTACTTTTAGAACCTCTCCATATTTGAGGCCGGGTATTTTTTATTTTGGTATATGTATTGGACATTAAAAACATGTTCAAACTACCTTGGTATTCAAATGTTACTAGGAGTAATAATAAGCAGACGCATTTTCAATTTCGTATTTTTCAAATCTCATTTTAATCATACATTTTACTCCGATTTGATTCTGAGGACACGACCATAAAAGGCGGGCTCTACAAAAAGGGAATACGGTATTATTCCAATCGTGACACACAATTTGTCCAGTTTGTTACCGACTACCGTCGAACAAGGATCTCCAATCTTGGTCTCACTTCCGGGGCATGACTGTTCATTTACACAGAAGATCATAGGCTCACGACAACGGAACAACTACTGGTAAGAAATGAAGGACATGACAAAGCGTACAACATAACACAATTTGTCCAGTTTGTCAGCGACTTCCGTCGGAGCAGGGATCTCCGATTTTCGTCTCACTTCCGTTGCATCACAGTTGATTCACACAGAAGATCATAGGGCCACGAAGACTGAATATCCAGCTGTAAGAGCGCCGGATACGACAAAGAAGAATATGAAAAACAATTTGTCCAGTTTGTCAGCGACTTCCGTCGGACCAGGGATCCTCATTTCCGGTGTTACTTCCGGTGCGTCTACATCCGGTTTAACGATAAGAGGAGTAACGGCGACTTTGGATGGTACACATGTGAACCTGGCAATACGAGACGTAATCGTGTTGTGTTCCTTCATGAGACTGACGCGCTGGATGACGATACAGAGGACGATATACAAACCGCTCAGGTGGAGTTGGATACATACGTAAAGGGAGATAAGTGAGGTGCTACTGGAGGTCTGGGGTAGCATACCGTTAAGAAGAGTGATGAAGAATGTGAAAGACAGGAACAGGGTCACCGAGATGGACAGTTTCTCTCCTGTTTCAGACTTGACCAGGAAGACGCACGGACTGAGCGTCGAGATGACCAGGATTGGTAGTAGGAGATTCACCACGAAGTAGACAGGCTGCCTCTTGACGGTAACCAGCAGTTTCACAAAACTCTGCTTTTTCTTGTCTCCCTTTTCTTTTTCAGAACCACCACCGACTACATTCCACTGACTGCTTTTCGAAGTAAACGGATAACGCACTTCAACTGTAGATATATTCAACTCTCCGGCGACGTACGTATCTGAAGAAAAGAGAATTTCACAAGTGTGTTCGTCGAATGGGAACTTTGTTACAGAGGTAACACAACTTGTTTCAGTATGGTATTCAACATCGATCCGAATAAGTCCAGTGTGGAAAGCGCGCATCCTACTACCGGAAGTGACGATAGAGGTTTCAATAGGATTCTGGACCACAACATCCGGGGCCCATACTTTTGTCAGGGTCACTTTGAAGCCTTCAATGTCACCATGCACTGACGTATTCCAAGTCAGTATATCATCCATCCACATGTAAAACGCCCAAATATCTGTAGTCAGGGTCTCCTTGACAACGTCGAGGTCAAGGACGGAGAAGTAGTTGATGCTCATGTAGACGTCCACAGTGTCCTGTTGGTTCCAGCGAGGGCGAAGGTCTTTGTTGTATCCTTTAAGTAGAGATGCTTGCAACTTGTCAGTGACGCCGTATGTATGGGCGTCTGTGGTGATGAGATGCCACAGCATAAAGATGGGAACAAAAGTCTTCATTGTGAGATTGGTGAGAGATGTGGATAATATGAACGAACTTACTATGAATAGGATTAGAGCTGGATGATATCCGTGGACCTACTTCTGTTTGGGTGGAGGTGTAATGATATCACTCTATCTGTTGCCTTAGGTAAAGAAGTCTAGGGGCAAGAATTGTCAACCTGCGGTCTTATGATATCACCATGTCAGCCTGTTAACACCTTCTTGTGGTATTGAAATATCACCGTGTCAGCTCGTTAACACCTTCTTGTGGTATTGTAATATCACCGTGTCAGCTCGTTAACACCTTCTTGTGGTATTGTAATATCACCGTGTCAGCATGTTCACACGTTCATGTGGTATTGGGATATGACTGTGTCAGCTCGTTAACACCTTCTTGTGGTATTTGTCATATCACCGTGTCAGCTCGTTAACACGTTCCTGCGGTATTTGTGATATCACTGTCTCAGCTTGCTGACACGTTCCTGCAGTATTGTGATATCACCGTGTCAGCTTGTGTCCCTTTGCATTTGGAGTAATAATGGTATGACTGTTCCGGTATCAGACACTTTTGGAAATAAACTGAACGCTCTGTACCTGCTTTAGTACGCTCGGAAATATCGCTATACCACGGTGTCAGTGAAGCGTAACAGTTCCCGTGGTATAAACAACATGTTCCTGAAGGTTTGGAACTAATGTCTCATCACTGTTCCTGTTCCTCAGTACTGTCTGACTTATTGACGTGAATTAAACCCCGTGAAACACAAATGTTCTATATATGTTAATTATCAGCCTGCACACACACATATGTCACGCCTAGTAATGGGTCTTGATAAGCATCCCTATGCAAGAGGCAGTCGTTAAAAGGTTTTAGCAATGGAATCACCGTTTCCCTATCACGAAGCAAATACAGCACCACGATTTTATTTACCTGTTGTCTCGATGCTACTGTTCAAATATTCTGGAATACAGAAGAACGATATAGCATTTCATCTGCCTACACTGGCAAATAAACCTTAATGCATCGTCAGAGCAGTCAATGTGTACCTTGATCAGGTATATTGATCACAGAGCACTTGTTTAGCTCCATGTCCACGTGAAATCAATGATGGTGCTTTGCACACAGTTGTAAAGTTATCTTGTCACAGTAGTAGTGCCATATAGTCTTGGAGTGAGTGAGTGAGAGTGAGTGATCAAGTGTGTGCGTTCCAAGTTGCGAGTTGGTAATTCTTTATATTACACTTAGAAAATAAACATAAAATGTTGAATTTCTGATCTCGCATGGATAAATCAGCTAAATGAGAATATTATTGAAACGACATAAAATCATTTGTGAGTGAGTGAGGGAGTTTAGTTTTACGCCGCTTTTAGCAATATTCTAGCAATACCAGAAATGGGCTTCACACATTGTACCCATGTCGGGAATCGAACCCGAGTCTTCGGCGTGGCGAGCGAAAAAATCATTTGTGACGTCATGTACAGTGGATGAAGTTTTGTTCAAATATTTCTGACATGGCGTTTGTATGACGTCATGCTGCTACGGACCTCGTCGCAAACAACAAGAGAATTGGAGCAACAGGATCAAAGTAGCCAATGAGAATGAAACAAAAATGATAGTGCGCGCTGATAATATTGGTGGAAATAATCTGTATCCGTGACACAGATGGCAGTGTGGGGTTAAGAGCAATCTGAAACCATTTCCCCTTCAACAAACATATAAAAGGCTCTGGACTATGAAGAGCTCAAGGAGTGAGACTGTACGTATGTCGGGAGTCTAGGGAAAACGTGGGTTCTTGTAAAAAAAAGTCAGCAAATGTTATTGTGTTTATTTGTTTGTTGTTTAACGCCGCACTCAGGAATATTCCAGCTATATGACGGCGGTCTTTAAATAATCGAGTCTGGACCAGACCATCCAGTGATTGACATCATGAGCACCGATCCACGCAATTGGGATACGATGACAGGCATCAACCAAATCAGCGAACCTGACCACCCGATCCCGTATGTCGCCTCTTACGACAAGCATAGTCGCCTTTTACAGCAAGCATGGGTTGCTGAAGACCTATTCTAGCCCGGATCTTCACGGGTCAAATGTTATTGTGACCCACTTTTAACAAAGAAAATTTCGTACAAACCTATATTAGAAAGATAAGAATTGAAAACACCAGTGAGAGCACACACACACACACACACACACACACACACACACACACACACACACACACACACACACACACATACATACTAAGTTAATAGCTATGTTGTACAGTACTGTCGTTATAAACATGCATTAGATGCAAAGAGGTGTCGATGTTCTCCTGTGTATTTCTGTGTACAATAATATAAGCGACAAAACCATTATCCTATTCATAAGAAATCTCTGCCAAAAGCAAAGTCAATTGTACCATTCAACCTATATCATGAGCATGCGTTTAGGAATCACTATCAAATAGTGATGATACCAGGTGTTCGCGAAAAGGTGAGCGTATCCTGCCCCACTGGGGGCGCCCGTCACAAGCACCTGCAAAGGCAAGTCATTTGTAAACCTGACAAAACACAGGAACAAGACTAAATACGGACATGAATCGAACAGCATTTTTGTCAGCGATGCGTCAGGTTTATAAATGTCTACCATAAAACATTGTGCACTCTTTACTGAGGCCTTGAATGTGGGAACCTTGATCAAACAGCTTATCAGCAAAAGTCTTATGACGCTCTTTGAAATCTTGGGAGAAGGAACGTCCTCGATTGTACCTAAAAAAATGTGAAATGGCTGGAGCAGCAGACATACTGCTCGGCATGAAGGGAAAGAAAAAATTACATACTTTCAGAAAGTTATAAGTCTTGTTACACGGTCTTGGGCATCTTCCCGAGGCAAGGGAAGTAACTGACCATGAAAGTCCATTTTCCACCATTGCCAAACTAAGCTACAATTATAGAGTTATGCATAGCCCAATCAAAATCGCGAAACGAAATCGACTTCCGGTTCGTAAACTGCCCTGCAGATTTCGGTCGATTTCAGGATTTGCAAAGCATGTGTTCCGTTAACTCGGCGTCAACAGATATTTTTTCAAATCTTTTCATGTTTTTAATCAAGGTGCTCACGTGATTGGATGCACTTCGCGAAATAAGACCCTTTATATCACAAAAACGATATTGATAATCGATCAGATCGTATTGACTGGGCACCACCGTTTTGTTTGAAACAAATGCAAGTGATATGAGAGGTGGAATCTGATTGGTCAATAGGAGGGATATAGAAGAGACATCACTCGTAATAGCCACTGATGACGCTACGATTGAGCCCAGAAATTCCAGCCCATTTCGGCAAGGGTGAAAAATGAACTTTTACAATCAGTTAACTCCCTTGCCTCAAGAAGATGAGTATCCTGACTGCTTATGCATAGATCTAAATATGAAACAGACGAGGCGGTCTCACTGCACTCCTCTATTTCTAATTCAGGTGGGTAAATCAGTGGAAGGAAACTATTGGCTGTTTGATGAATATTGAACGATATGATGAAGCATTAGTTAAACTTCTTGGCCAAATTACCTTGTTTAGACTATGCCAATCCGAGCTCTGTTTCCGATTCATTCGCATAAAGAAACAGATACGCAAGGAGAGGTGTCATGGGGATGCCTACTTCTTGACTAAATGTCTTTACAAAAATCCTTTTTGTCGAAATGGATTTGTCACTTTCATTTACCCCCAAATCTCATACAGCTGTTATCAATGAGGAAGTCCAGCATTTCACATATTGCTTGCTTAGTAATCTTCAGATGGCGTATATTTTCATGTTTGTCCAATTGACCTGAACCTCTGAAAATAGTAACTACAAATATATATGCTCACCACGTTTAGTACCATAAAAACCTTGTATGTAGGAATGAAGTTGTTCTTTAAGCTTGTCATATGAGATTGTGGTGTACAAAGTTGAAAAATCGCGTGTTTTGACAGAATGAAACTTTTTTTCTGTGATTGCAAACATGTAAGCAATTCCTTGAAGTTGTTGAGAATCCACATGATATTAATTCCACTTGTCTCATATTCTTTCCATGAAAATAAAGAAAGTCCTTCCTTATTTGAATTTAGCGTTGTAATTAATCTTTGAGACAGGGATTTGGTGGTACATTTGCTAGCCTCGGCAATATATAGCTCTTTTGACGGTTATTTATGGAGCTTTGGAATATTTCAGGTTTTAGCCAAATGTTGAGCGTACTGACGCATGGTTTTGGCCCATTTAACATACTAGCCTTATATGTGGCAATACTTGATGTGTCACTTATAGCAAATTCTTTGATCAAACAAATGATGTGATACCTGCATTATTGGTTATGTTATTTGAGGCTACACCAGTTCTATGTAGGGCAGCTTTGGATGACAGCTGACTGGGATAGAATGGGTGTATTCCAATTGCTTCCTCTTTTTCAGTGGCTGCAGAATGATGAATCGTGGCAGCCACAAGAAGTAGTATTTACACGTCCTATAATTGAACAACCTGGATGAAATGGTGTTCGTATAGGAAAATGAAGTGGGTGGTGATACCTGAAATTTAAAATATTGTGGCACATTTTGGGAAATTTTTGTCTCAGAATGTTACTTAAATTTAAGGCTTCAAATCCTTTGTTCGCATTCAAGAACACGTGGTCTTTGTCAGATTTAGTCTGTGTCTGGTTGGGTCAAACGTTTCAAAGCTATATCATGAACGATACTCTCTGGTCGATACTGTGGGCTCGTTCTGTTGTAAACCCACCCATCAGTACATGTTGCTGGAATTGTATAATTTCTTTCAGTGACACAGAGTATAGTCGTGTTCTTTCTTTATGCAGTGCCAATTGTTCCCGAAGGAGAGTCGACAAGTCTTCCAGATGAATGGTATCATTTGGCCTATGGCTGCGTGAATGTCTTTGGGATGCCAGAAACTGTCTCAATACATTGACATCGGCTGTTCGTTGGCTGAGAACATCTTTCATTTTATCATTGGCATATGTAAACAACACTTGCATCCAATGGATATTTTTTAAGGCCCACTCATATGAGGCTATTAGATAGATGGTATCTCTTCTCTTATATCCTAACTTTTATGTATAGGATGGAGTGATTTGCAGAATTGAAATGTTGGTCGACGCAACTGGAAACATAAATGTTGATACCTGATCATGCTGGGTAACTCGTGCCAATGATTTCTGTTGTGTCTTTCCAACATAAATCAATGCATTAAGGAAGCATTCAATGTCATACATGACGTGTTTAGTTTGACATAATCGGTTTTCAAAAGGTTTTGTGAAGTATGTTTTAAATGTCAAGTGAGACTTGAATTCAGGATCAGTTTACCAAATAGGACAAGTTTATTGCAATAAACTATTTTTATTATATATATGTTTATGTTAGTTTTTCCGGGGTAAGGGATGCGTAATGGGCATTTCACATCACAGTCAACAATAGTGTCAGTTACAGCGTGACAAGTGGTGTGAGTGAGTGAGTGAAATGGGTTTAACGCCGCTTTTAACAGTATTCCAGTTATATCACGGCGTATCAGCTTAGTGTGGGAGGAAAGCCCGAAGTGATGCAAGTCTCAGACGTTTACAACTTCGGTGAAACCCACGAGCACGGGTATGGTGCTGACAAACCTAGAAACATTGCGAACCGGGATTCGAACCCATAATCCTAGGTTTCTGGCGTGCCCAAGGGACACAACTCTGTACAGCGAATCGCGACTCCTTAGACGACCGGGCCACCCGTGCCCCCTTGTACCACATGAATATATACTGCATGGAGATTGGTTCAAAAGAAAATTGTCCTCCAACTTTACTGAAGATTTTTAATGATGATTGTAAATGAATTTTTCGTTTTTGTAATACAGTAACTACGGTTATAACAAACTCAAAGGGACCACTAATTTTAGTTCGTAATAACCGAAATTCGTTTTAAGCATGTATACATCATATATACAACACGTGGCCTGGACTAAGAAATAAGTTCGTTATATCGGTCAGTTCGTTATAAGAGTGTTCGTTATAAACGTAGTTTTCTGCAGTAACTGCCTTCGTGTTGAACAGAGATTGATTTCATGATATCCCAAAGGACCACCTGAAGACTGCAACCTAAACCATATGTTGCAGCAGCCCCGTCTGTATCATAGTGTTTCAACCCAAATAGTTTCTATTCGTTCAAGAGACAAATCATTACCATTTATTCGCTCCAAGAATCTGGGAATATATCGGTATTTAAAACTTTGTTAAACAACAATTTCAAATATGAGATTCTACTATGAGAGTACACTTTTTAAAATTCTGCGGGAAGTCCATCCTCACCTTGTCTCTGTTCTAGGCTGTTGATGGAATCCTTGTCTGTTATAATGTATCAATCATTTATTTACGCCTCGGGCCTAATTACAATCTATACACATGGGTCCAACAGCAAAAAATTACTATCGTACTATTGACATATTTCGAACGAATTTTAACGTATGAGGGCCATATCAATACAGAATAAATTCCATCTTACAATTACATGTAAATTACATAATGGACAAAGCCGAAGTGTCCCTATATTATGCATAATTTTCAATTCACCAACGCTAATAAAATAAGCATATGTTTATTTTGTTTTCATAAGTAAACTAATTCTTTAATACCAAAATTAATTGTAGGTGTGAGTAACTCGCCACCTCAGAATACCATGCTTGTGTTGGGTGGTGATACCTGAAATTTAAAATATTGTGGCACATTTTGAGAAATTTTTGTCTCAGAATGTTACTTAAATTTAAGGCTTCAAATCCTTTGTTCGCATTCAAGAACACGTGGTCGTTGTCAGATTTAGGCTATGTCTGGTTTGGCCAAACGTTTCAAAGCTATATCAAGTAGGATACTCTCTGGTCGATACTGTGGGCTCTTTCTGTTGTAGACCCACCCATCAGTACATGTTGCTGTAATTGTTTAATTTCTTTCAGTGACACAGAGTATAGTCGTGTTCTTTCTTTATGCAGTGCCAATTGTTCCCGAAGGAGAGGCGACAAGTCTTCCAGATGAATGGTATCATTTGGCCTATGGCTGCGTGAATGTCTTTGGGATGCCAGAAACTGTCTCAATACCTTGACATCGGCTGCTCGTTGGCTGAGAAGACTGTCAACATCTTTTATTTTGTCATTGACATATGTACACAACACTTGCATCCAATGAATTTCTCTGGACATTCTTTAAGGCCCATCTTATATGAGGCTATTAGATAGATGGTATCTCTTCTCTTATATCCTAACTTTTATGTATAGGATGGAGTGATATCGCTGGAATATTGCTAAAAGCGGCGTTAAACATACTCACTCACTCACTCACTCATTTAGGAACCATTCAGTCCCACCAACACCTGAACTTTCCAAAGAAACACCAAACCAAAAGTAAGTAATATATTCTTGATATCTGAAGCCCACGTTTTTTTTTCTCCCGACTGCATCGAGTTTAAATAACAAATGCTAATATTGCCTGGGATTTATCATGTCTTGAGACATACTAAGGAGTTTAAGCCAGTATTGCCAACATCCATCCAGTATCAACGTGAATACCAAAAAGACCACATTCCCCCAGTACTGCACCATTTTTAACTCCCAAAACAAATTTGCAAATCTTGGCTTGAAAATGTTCGAAAAACAACCATTCATAAATACCCCAAATCTCTGAACAATGGAAAAGAATTTTATTAATCTGATCGTCAAACATTCTAAAACAATACCTTTGGAGAAATATTTCGCATTCTATGACAAAGTAGTTTTATAGGAACCAGCTCTTTACTAGCTTAGGACACCAATGTCCGAACAGTAAATGGTAACACTGTACATTTTTATTTCAGTGATTGTTAACATATAAAACTGAGGACAAGATTTTCTAAATGTGAACCCATTGTTGAGCCAACTGTATCAGCAGCATTTAACATATCTCTATAATGTCATCAGCAATACTATTCCTCCTTGTGTCAGGTATCTTCTCTGGATAACATGAGACGTAAGTTAATAGGATGACCGGTACCTCAGTCATCTAGTGTGTATCTGAATTTTATTGGGATGTCAGCCATCTTCTCCTTGTAGAGCTGATCAAACCACTCTTTCTGTGCCACAGTGAACCAGTTCTTCCAGTCACCCACTTTACCTGGAAATATGCAGACAATAGTGACACGGCACTGTAGCTCACCTGGACATGTGCAGACAATAGTGCCGCGGCACTGTGGCTCACCTGGACATGTGCACACAATAGGGTCACGGCTCTGTAGCTCACCTTGACATGTGCAGACAATAGGGTCACGGCTCTGTAGCTCACCTTGACATGTGCAGACAATAGGGTCACGGCACTGTAGCTCACCCTGACATGTGCAGACAATAGTGTCACGGCACTGTAGCTCACCCTGACATGTGCAGACAATAGTGCAACGGCATTGTAGCTCATCTGGACATGTGCAGAAAATAGTGTCACGGCACTGTAGCTCACCCTGACATGTGCAGACAATAGTGCTACGGCACTGTAGCTCACCTGGACAAATGCAGACAATAGTGATACGGCATTGTAGCTCATCTGGACATGTGCAGACAATAGTGCCAGTGTACTGTAGCTAACCTGGGATAGTGTCGCGGCACTGTAGCTCACCTGGTAGATGAAGAGTCGGCGCAATACAACCTGCTTAACGCTTGACTTTAATATTTGAAATAACAGCTGCGATTTGGCATTAATCAACACGACGGGCATAAAGAAGAATCTGACTGAAACCTTTTGAACACATTCATATATCCGCACTACTGAAATGTATGCCAAGATCCTCTTCCGTCCAGTGTCTGAAACTCGCAAGATTAAACCGAGATCCGCAAGGGCCAGCCCATTTAAAAACTGTAGGGCCAGTAGAAAAAAACTGTAGGCCCAAACATTTTAACTGAAGCGGGAGACATAATCTTGCAATATACACTACAAAACACAACCAGTCATCCAAAACTTTTACTGCTACCACGCCGAGTTCCCACAGACTCAGTGAAGATAAAGATGAAGCCTATATTTATCAGGAAATTATCAGCGTGTAAAACATTTTTGCGACTACATGTCATACACCATATGAAAGATCTAATCATACTGCTTATACATATGAAAGGACCGCCTCCGTGGTCTAATGTTAGAGCGTCCGCCCGGAGAGCGGAAGGTCCGGGGTTCGATCCCCGGCCGCGTCATACCAAAAGACGTTAAAAGATGGTACTTGTTGTTACCCTGTCTGGCGCTCGGCATTAAGGGCCTAAAACAAGGACTGATCGGCTCGGAGTCAGTATGCTGTGTCTGAGTGGGGTATTCATGTTAAACTGCGGCTTGGTATCTCAGTGTGCTAGCACTATAAATCGGCATCAGTCCGGACAAGTACAAGCAGCCACACACACACATGCATGCACGTCGCTATATAAGTGCAATAATCTTGGACGCGACGTTAAACCCCATTTCACCTCACCTCACCTATAAATATGAAAGTTATGTTTGTCACATTGCTTAAAAAATGCTTAACAAATAATTACTTGAATAAAAAGCAGGCCGTAATGTCCTGCTGAAATTTAAAACAATCAGCCCAAGGACAAATCTGTCGGCCTCGGGCCTACGGGCCAATGTCTATTTCGAAAACTGCCTCCATCAGTTTAATGGTGATCGGGAGAACACGTCATGGCGTCATTTGGACGTATGGATCAGGTGAGTTTAACAAAAACGTTCTCTGGGACGTCACGATACGTATACATGTACGCCAAACGAATGTAAATAGGCTGATGCGTACTCATGGTTTAAGCAATATTCAAACCATGTCAATACCTTGAATCAACTTCAAAACTTGTAACTGAGGACTTCAACCCGGTTTAGGCGTAGCTTAACACTTTACCCACTAGGCCGCCAGATGTTAGATATACATCTAACGTTAGGTACATAGTTAAGTTATAACATACACCAGGGAATAATTAACCATCAACTACGACCGCCAGAGAGCGATAACACGAGACGAGAGAGTGATAACACGAGACGAGAGAGTGATAACACGAGACGAGAAAGCGTTATTGTATATCGATATGTCGTCTCGTGTTATCGCTTTCACGTCTCGTGTTATCGCTTTCGCGTCTCGTGTTATCGCTTTCTCGTCTCGTGTTATCGCTTTCACGTCTCGTGTTATCGCTTTCACGTCTCGCGATATCCCCTCTAGACCATAATAGGGGTCTGACGTGTCATGTAATCAACACGATGAAAAACATATATATGTAAAACAACAGTAATGAATTGTTAAAACACACCTTATTATCAAAAAGAGTCATGTTGTTGCTTTCTTCATTTTTAGGGGGCCGAAGTGTTTTTTCTTCATCAAAGAGAGCTGATATTTTGTCCTGTCACAATACAGATTCTCCCTTTGTAAGGAATGTTGAAACTGTCTCACTTTTCACTAAAAGAAAATAACTGTTCAGATGTAGGTGAATTTAAATAAAGTGACAAAACCTTTTCCATATCAACAATCTACGGATTTCTGCGATAACTAATTGCTTGTTAATTAAATGGCCCTGGTAATGAGTTCTATATACAAGGTATGGGTCTTGTAAATCAATTAGTTATGATATAACACTGAGCACACCAATCACTCAATATTCTGTTGTTATGTTCAATAAATGAGCACAGTTACTTTTTTCCGTCAGTACATATTCAAAGTAGATCCGGGCTCTCAACTTGATTGAGTCCAAGTGAGGTGAGGTGAGGTGAGATGAGGTGAGGTGAGGTGAGGTGAGGTGAAGTGAGGTGAGGTGAAAAAGGGTTTAACGTCGCGTCCAAGATTATTGCACTTATATAGCGACGTGCATGTACGTGTTTGTGTGGCTGCTTGTACTAGTCCGGACTGATACCGATTTATAGTGCTAGCTCACTGAGATACCATGCCGCAGTTTAACATGAATACCCCACTCAGACACAGTCCTTGTTTTAGCCCCTTAATGCCGAGCGCCAGACAGGGTAACAACAAGTACCATCTTTGAACGTCTTTTGGTATGACGCGGCCGGGGATCGAACCCCGGACCTTCCGCTCTCCGGGCGGACGCTCTACCACTCGACCACGGAGGCGGTCTGATTGAATCCAAGGACAAGCTGAGAGCAGAAACTTGAACAGAACAATGGGATGACGTTTCCACGTTTTACGAGCCTCCCTAGTCAGTGGATGTTTTAACCCATTAATGCCAAGCGCTAGGCAGGGTAACAATAAGTACCATGTTTCCATCTTTTTGGTATGAAGCGGCCGGGGTTCGAAACCCCGACCTTCTGTTCTATGTTGGGGTAAATATGTCTTGTAACCATGAACAATGTAGCAGTTATTAAATCGACGATGGTCTATGGCCTGGTTCATGCTAGTATGGCCGAGTATAGATGGAGAGGTCATCGCCCTTCAACCATTGACCATGGTTCCTTCACACATGTTACGTAATGGTGTAAAAATCAAGAGGAACACTGACCTTTCCTGAAGGCATATTTCCCCATTTCCGTTGTTGCCTTTCGTTTCTGCATTGAATCGAAATGGCAGTGCTCACACACCTGCCTCACGAACTCATCAGATCTCGCCACACCAAGAAAATCTCGCAATTTCACGGCCTCCCTCACGGGATTCTACAGAAAGAGAAGAGACGTATTCAATACACAAGACCCACTTTACAGGCCCAGATATACCTAATGGGCGAAGAGCAACTTTAACCGAATGTTTTGTTTGTTTGTTTGTTTGTTTGTTTGTTTGCTTGCTTGCTTGTTTAACGCCGCACCCAGCAGTATTCCAGCTATATGGCAGCGAGTCTTTGAAAGGCATTTAGAAGTACTACACATAAGGAAGAAAATATATTGCTTGGATCTTTGTCTAGCTGGCTTCAATTTGCCCATTATTATTTTTACCTATCAGTGCGAATTATCCCCGGCCTTCCGTTTTCCCATTGTCCATTGGCAATTACCTATCAGTCATAATTTAAGTCCTTGCTTCTAGTTGTCCATAACTATCAGCGCTAATTACTGTAAAGTGTTGGCTTCCATTGTCAGTTGCTAATCACCTATCAGTGCTAGTTATCTGTTGGCTTCTCTTGTTAAGTTTCCACCTTTTGTTATCTTATTACTTTTGTTGTTCTTACATACCCGTGATGATCCGGGATAGAATAGGTCTTCAGCAACCCATGCTTGCCGTAAAAGGCGACTATGCTTGTCGTAAGAGGCGACTAACGGGATCGGGTGGTCAGGCTCGCTGACTTGGTTGGTGCATGTCATCGTATCCCAATTGCGTGGCTCGATGCTCATGATGTCAATCAGTTGATTGTCTTGTTCAGACTCGTTTTTGTACAGACCGCCGTCATATAGCTGGGATATTGCTGAGAGCGGCGTTAAACAACATGTAACTGAAACTGTTGGCCTTTCATGTACATATATATGCTCTCTGCCTCATATCATTCATTCACCAGATGAATGAGTAAGTATATACTCCGAAACGCTGTGTTTCTCAAAATAAAGAATTTGACATCCATAAATTATCTTCCTCATATGACGGCGGTCTGGAAATAATCGAGTCTGGACTCGACGATCCAGTGATTGACCTCGTGAACCTCGACATACGCAATGGGGATAGATGGCATGCATCTACCAAATCAGAGGGCCTGACTCTTATGACAAACAAGGGTTGCTGAAGACTAAATCTAACCCGAATCTTCACGGGGCTCAACCGAATATAACAAAACTTGATAGTGCTGGCCCACTGAGACACCATGCCACAGATCAACATGAATACCGAGCCAACCAGTCCTTGTTTTAGCCCCTTAATGCCGAGCGCCAGGCAGGGTAACAGCAAGTACCATCTGTTGACGTCTTTTGGTATGACGCGGCCCGGGATCGAACCCCGGACCTTCCGTTCTCCTGGTAGACGCTCTTACCACAAGACCACACAGGCGGTCCCGTAATAACTATTATGATTATTCAAATTGTTTCCATGCATTTTGAGGTCCAATCGAGACACAGAATATACGGAGTTACGAACTATATGTGGCGGAATCTGGCGTTACTCGGTTTACAGTGATTTCATGCATTATCACTACGCCATTGCTGCCTTAAGTATTATGTAGGTTGCGAAACAAGCCGACTGGATCCGAGTGGACCCGAGTGGACCCGTGGGGACAAATTGGTAAAGTTCACGAAGTGACTGGAATATTGGTGTTGAAAAGTCCTGCCCCTTCCTCAACGATATCCTCTTTGATATCTTTGATACCTCTTTAAAGTCCTCATAGACCAGGGTAAGAATGGGGTGGTCAGGATTGGCCCTTTTAACCTCCTCCCAATGCCGGGTATGGTCAAACCACGACCCATAACAAACTGAAACAATACAGGATTGCAATTATTTAAAGCCAGGAAGTTATTTTATGCGCATGCATTTTTATCAAAATATCAGCATCACTATGTGTTCAAGAAAACATATGTTTGTTTCCTGTTTAACTCCACACTCAGTTTGTTTGTTGTTTAACGCCACACTCAGCGACATTCCAGCTATATGACGGCGGTCTGTCAACAATCGAGTCTGGACCAGCCAATCCAGTGACTGACGTCATGAGCATCGATCCACGATGACATGCATCAACCAAGTCAGCGAGCCTGACCACCTGATCCCGTTAGTCGCCTCTTTCGGCAAGCATGGGTTGCTGAAGACCTATTCTACACCGGATCTTCACGAGTCACCACACTCAGTAATAAATCCAGCAATAGTATGATGGTCAGCGACTCAAGGGAACCCCCGTAGTCATTTATCGTCGACATACCACGTGTGGATTTCTGGTCAGAATATAGGTTCCAATCAACCTATGCTTGTCATACTTTGCGATTTAAAAGACCAAGGAGGCATTAAACAACATGGTTTTAAATCATTTTTAATTATTATTTTATGGTGTTGCCTTAAGTGGATTCTATAGAATAAAGTTTTTATTTTTGGTCGTACATATTTTTGTTGGCCATTTTTTGGCCATTTACGTGCAAGGTTGTGGGTGAAGTTTTTTGTTTAACAGTAAAATTAAAATTAAATTAATTGAATTAAAGTCAACTTGACGAGGTAGGAAAGCCCTAGGTGATGCAGGTCGTGGACGTTATGTACTTGGGTGTAACCAAAGAGGATGGGTATGGTGCTGACAAACCTAGCGACATAATAATCTCGGGTTGGTGAACACTGATAAGTACTTAGTAAAATATCTGTAATATATTGTAGTATTGTAAACGTTCTCAATAATATAAGCCAGAAATATGCTGTTGGGACGTTCACAACATACAAAGGGAACTAACTCCGGTGATTCCCTAATCCGAGCATTTATCATACCAGACGATTTCACTTGTAACAATACCGTCCGGATCTCGTCTTATTTCTGTTTAGATAATAATTTTTTCTTTAGACTATACATACATTTCCCGTTGAAGTACGGCCTACAGAAGTTGCTCCACTTCCCGCTGTAGTCGCAGAAGGTGAGAACGCGCAGGAAGTTGAAGTATGACACCGCAACGTCCAAAGGGTTCCGAAGTACACAAATCAGCTTCACCTTCTTCTTAAGCACATCCGCCGGAAGTTGTTCAAGGCGCAGGTGCGTGTTTAGAATTCTGGGCGAGGGGAGGTCTCGGTATGCTGTCTCGGGCGAACTGTCAATCATGGTGACCATCTTCTGGAAGTCATCGACGTCAACACTTCCGGCTAACAGGAAGTGGATTATCTCCGTCACCCAATGGGATCCTGTAAAGTAATATAAGGACATCATGTGATCAGTGCTTTCCTTATCCTCGGTATCCCCTAATCCGTTGTTTAGTATCAGTTTTTTCTATATGTCACTACTGGGGGTTACCGATTGTCCCGTTAGAAAACTCTGCTAATGCGTGCTGTAGGATTTACTGCTCACTTCAACATTTCAAATTGGCTACAAATCAAAATGTTTTGAAAGATCTTAATACCAATTTTATCCCGGATTACTTCCTAATATGTATAATTCCTCGAAAGTGACGTTTGTAAAACGATTGAAGATTGAAGTAAATAGTGTTTTAATGGTGATCGCCATCTTTCATACCAATTTCAAACCTTTAATAGAATCAATCATCTCTCACTGTTATAATAAACTGTAAATAAAAGCGACACATCCCTTTCCATAACCCGAGTATGTCATAAGGGGCGGACCATTTGATATTTAGGGGGAGGGGGAGGGGGAGGGTCATTTTATTTTGGTAGAGATATGTTCTTTTCATCATATCTAGAGGCTGAAGTGTTAAGTGACATTAATAGATACAGCTGGGGATTAAGGGTCCTGCTGGGAGGGGACTTAGGATTAGAGGGAATAGGTGAATGTTTGCTGTATTCGTTAATCAGAAAAAGATGGCATTTCTGTGCATTTGGCTGAACAAAGTTTTAAAGAAACCTATTGAAGTGGTTTGGAATAAATCAATTCCCCTGAACGTGGTGGAGCTTTTGTCCTCAAAAACTTTTTTAAAATAGTGACAATATTGAAAGTACAAGCATATGGTAAAATGCATTTCTCCAATCACAAAGATCAGTTTTTGACTCAGATTGGTCAGGATAAGGACAAACTCACTTACATTATTACTAAATAGAAACTGGAAACGCCAGACTCATTTGACCCTTTTTATAAGCAAAACGCAACCAATAGGAAGGAATGTTCCAGACAGGTGCATCTATGTTAGAAGGCAATATCATTCAGCCAAGTTCTTCTGAATGACACCGTCCGGTTGTCTTGGTTCAATAACGGGATAGTCCTTTCCGGTTTGCTGTAGATTATAGACGTCTCAATGCAGTTACCAAACCTATACTTTCCCCTCTACCACGTTTTGAAGATGTCGTTGATGCCATATAGAGGCGACAGCCATGCTAAGTGTCATTGATTGCGCAAGCGGCTTTTAGCAAATACCACACCATCCAGATACAAAACACAAGTCAGACTTCATAACACCTGATGGTGTTTTTGAATGGAAGTGCCTCCCTTTCAGCCTTAAAAATGCTCTTTAACCGTTTCAAGCACTAAAAGAAATGAATTGGCGTTACATATTAATATGTGAAGATGACATCATAATATCTTCTAAAACGTTTTGAGAACATTCGAGACTCGTGAAGATCCAGGATAGAATGGGTCTTTAGCAACCCATGTTTGCCGTAAAAGGAGACTATGCTTGTCCTAAGAGGCGACTAACGGGATCGGGTGGTCAGGCTGCTGACTTGGTTGATGCATGTCATTGTATACTGAGTGTATCGATGCTCATGATGTCAATCACTGGATTGTCTGGTCCAGACTCGATTATTCAGACCCCGTCATAGAGTTGAAATATTGCTGAGTGCGGCGTTAAACAAACAAAGAAACAAACAGAACATTTGAATCACCCCAAAAGATCAAAGAAGCAGCACTCACTCTAAAACCAAGCAAATGTAATTTCGTGACAAAACAAGTCACCTACTTAGGGCATATATTCAGCAAAGATGGCATCCATGTTGAGCCTTCAAAGATAGATAGTTACACAGATCCCAAGGCCTAAAAATGTCCATGATATAGGTTTGCCCTCCTATTATTGCAAATTTGTGGCAAACGTTTATGACATCGCCTCCCCCTATAGAACCTTCTGAAAAAAGATGCGTCTTTCAAATGGTCCAACAACTGCCAACAGGCAATCGAAAAGCCAAAGCAATCCCTGACAACAGCCTCATCCTTGCATATCCCGACCAAAACAAACCCTTAATCCTCACAAACTGCAATAAGGTACATTTAAGACCAACTTGAGTCTCATGGCATAAATTGTAATAATTAAATTTTAGTTGTGTTCATTGAAATTCCTGCATTCTGATTAGCTGAATTGGTCACGTGTTATTGCATTCATTACCCAATGAATGTAAAAAAATAAGCCACGTCCACCGAGGCGCACTACTTTTATTACTGCGGAATGTCGGGGAATCCCAATATTACAGTCGAGAGAATTCCCTTTCTGCTTACGTGTATCGTCATGCACATGACATTTAGCGACATTCATGTATATTCATTGTCCAAACTACTCTTTGAAACCGAAGGCCGAGAATGAATGAAACAGGAAACGTGCAGGCTCGCTCGCCTGTGTTTTCCCGCTCGCCTCGATTCAACTTTCATGTCTTCGGGTTTCATTTCTAACTAGTATTTTCCCAACTGTGTTTTACCGTAATCAGGGACGTAATGTTTGAATCTGGCGGTAACTGACCATGTTATTTGAAACAGCCGCCTTCTCCCGGACATATTTCTTCCGGTTCGTTACAGTCTGACTGTTGCAGTTCTTTTCGCGTAGCTGAATCTTACAAAAGTTTGCACATCCGTTTTTCGATTCATACCTCAATGAACCGAAAACAATACAGTCAATCCTTAAAAAAAATCCTATAGCGAACTACACAAGAAATAATGACATCACTTTCACCACCGCTATGTGACGAACTACACCAAAACTGATGACGTCACTCTCACAACCGCAATATGACGAAGGGCAACTCATTCCAAACGAACGAAAGTCCCACCGATCCGATAATAAGACCATGCCAAGAAACATTTGAAACAGCCGCCTCTCGGACATATTTCTTCCGGGTTCGTTACAGTCTGACTGTTGCAGTTCTTCTCGCCTCATGCCTTAATTGATCCTATGAACATTGTTTTGTTCCTACTCTCCGTTGATTGGCTACTCACTGTGTAGGCGTGTCAAGTTATGTGCATAAATTTAAGGATCACCTGATTCATGTCACGCCACAGTATGTATTCATGTTTATCAATCTCGTCATTTTTGTCTGCTTTGATATATTTAACTGTTTTTTGGTTAAACAATTGTAGATAAAACATGTTTTATGTTGTCGAATTTAATTATAAGCATTGACTGTGTATTTTTTCGGTTTATTGAGGTATGAATCGAAAAACGATGTGCAAACTTTTGAGTCATATCACGATGAGACAAGCAGGGTCAATGACCTTGTCCAAGGATACAGCACAGTGACTTGCATGATATGGCCTCTTGAAATGGAAGTTTGACATGATTATTTATAAATAGGGGCGGTCGGGTAGCCTAGTGGTTAAAGCGTTTGCTCGTCACGCCGAAGACCCGGGTTCGATTCCCGACATGGGTACAATGTGTGAAGCTCATTTCTGGTGTCCCCCGCCGTGATATTGCTGGAATATTGCTAAAAGCGGCGTAAAACCATACTCACTCACTATTTATAAATAAGGGCCACGTGCATATTGTCTCTCATGGAGATGTCTCTACGTCAATGATTATGGCTTTGTTCTCGGTATACTGTATATTGATGAGGATGGCTATATTGCGGTCGAGACTTTTTATTTTATTTCAAGCAGATGGAGTTTTTATATACACAAAATTGTGAGCTGCTTCATATTCTTTACAGACACACATCCACACACTCACACACTCTCTCTAAATGTCTTCTCACATCTTACATGCAACAGTGAGTGAGTTGGGTTTAATGCCGCGTTTAACAGTATTCCAGTTATATCACGGCGTGTCAGCTTAATGTGGGAGGAAAGCCCGAAGTGATACAGGTCTCAGACGTTTGCCACTTCGGTGAAACCCACGAGCACGGGTATAATGCTGACAAACCTAGAAACATAATAGGGGCGAACCTGGATTCGAACCCACAATCATAGATTTCTGGCGTGCCCAAGGGACGCAACTCTGCACAGGGAATCGCAGCGCCTTACATGCAACAAATAATTTTAATGAAACATGGTCATACTATAGATGTAAAGCCGTCAAGAACGCTTTATTGATGACTTGTACACCGTTCTGGCCCCAGGGTAAAGCTCCCATCTGTTTGTTGTTTAAGGCTGCACTCAGCAATATTCCAGCTATATGACGGCGGTCTGTAAATAATCGCGTCTGGACCCCGCAATCCAGTGACTGACATCATGCCTTTTACGGCAAGTATTGGTAAGCTCCCATCTTTTCTCACCTGCCTTTGGGTATGCTGATACAATGATGTCGTCGCTACGCACGTTGACACTTGCGAGGTTATGGAAGGCGTTGATGTCGCCATTGGGCAGCACCTGTCCGTCTGTCTCCAGGAACGACGCCCCGTCTCCCCCATCGTCAAGGATCCGAACTACGTTCATCTTCTGGACGTTAAATAAATACTCCTCACACAGATGTTAACATTTACATTTCAAAGTGAGTGAATGAATGGTGATTTACGCCGAAGTCAGTTTATTATACCGTGTAAATGTTTGTTTGTTGGTTGGTTAACGCCGCACTCAGCAATATTGACACCCGATCCCGTTAGTCACCTCTTATCGCTAGCATAGTCGCCTTTTAGGGCAAGCATGGGTTGTTGAAGACCTTTTCTACCCCGGATCTTCACAGGTCTAGCGTGTAAATGAATGTATCTGGACCAGTCAAACAAGCGAATACAATGTATATAAGAGAAAACAAACATCCATCAGAGTATCCTGATCAATTGATATTGATGGAAATACCAGAAAGTATCAAGAAAAGGCACCGAATGTTTCTCGATTTTCAAACAAGAGCAGGCAGTACTTCACCCCTACAGGGCCTCTATAACTACTTCTATACCGCACAGACAGCGTTAGTGTGACTGTGTACTCATTATAACACCACAACTTTCATTTCACATCACAATACAATCAATAACTGTTCAATTATTTGCTTAACTGTGAGAATGTTTTATGTGTTGCGTGGAACTCGCCGCTATGGGTTCCTCGTTCCTACTCTCGTACAGGCTATGGAATGAATGAGTGAGTGAGTATGGTTTTACGCCGCTTTTAGCAATATTCCAGCAATTTCACGGCGGGGGACACCAGAAATGGGCTTCACACATTGTACCCATGTCGGGAATCAAACCCGGGTATTCGGCGTGATGAGCTTACGCTTTAACCACTAGGCTACCCGACACACCAAAATCCCTGCTCAGAATTTGTATCACTAATTTCTTGTTTATTTGGATCGTGCACACAAACCTCCTTGATGAAATATATCAACCTGAAATTGTCCTTAAATCGCGGCTCTTTTGTCTTTGACTGGACAGTAACAAACCGAATAGTTTGCAAAACCACTATTTGACTTGAATGATCTGACAAGAGCAATTTAACGAAATATGTGGGTCGCCGGCGGGATTCGAACTCACGAAGATCTCACGGAAAGCTAACGAATGTACAATATGGAACATCTGAAAAATTAACAATTTAATATGTACCAACATCAAAACTGAAAGTTACTCAATGAGTCTTTTAAATAATACGTATAACGAACATGTGTTGTGGTAACTGTTCGTTAATAGAAATGACTAGACAGAAGCAAATACTCGGTCCTTGATCAGGGCTGGGTTTTCTTAAAAGTATTCATTAACATGTATACGGTATGCGTGTGTGACCGATGCATTTTCTCATGTTGGTCTGATATGAATTGTATACTTGACCCAGGGCATTCATTCCATAGCCTGTACGACAGCTCGATGACCCCACAGAGTGAGGTCCAAGCGACACATAAAACATTCTCACAGTTAAGTAAATAATTTTTGAACAGTTATATAAAACGGTTATCATTGCAATGTTGATTAAACATGTTTAGACACATTTGACGCGATAACACTTTGATACAACTGGCATTTATATTTCTTTATAAACTTTGAACGTCAATGCTAGAAAATAACCAGTCTCGATTTTCCAACGAAACCGACACCAATGGACGTAAAAGGCAACATAGCGGTTTCACTGTGACTGGATCACTAAAACATCAGTGATAACACCAGGTGTTGGCGAAAAAAGTAAGCATATTCTGCCTACCTGTTGTACCCGCCAATCCACTCACAATTTGCATGAAAAAGGCACAGCAATCCAAACACACCCAACTGAGTTCCGTCTCCACAAATATCTTCTTGAGCAATGTTGCGAAGATCTTACCTTATACTTCAATTACATCCGAAGAGTCTATCAAATTGACAATTCAATATTTTTCGCACTGGGACGAGGGGAACAATGTGTCCCAATTGCCGTATAGGTCAAAGCCCTGAATGCAGTTCAGATAAAGTCGGTTTGAATGTAGGTCAATTGCAGTCGTGTTTCTGTATCATGTCTGTTAACTGGAACAACCTGCTGGTATGTCGATCAGGGACGTTTTCAGGAGGTTCGTTACGTGACAGGGGTCAAGGGTGTCCCAATTGTCTCAGGCGCCGAACTTCACTGTGGAGAATTATGTCCACTGGGTATACCAGAACCTATGATTGTGGGTTCGAATCCCGGTTCGCCCCGATTATGTTTCCAGGTTTGTCAGATCCATACTCATGTTCGTGGTTTAACCAAAGTGGTAAACGTCTGAGACCTGCATCACTTTGGGCTTTCCTCCCACATAATAACTGGAATACTGTTCAAAGTTGACTTGTGTGAGTGGGTAAGTGAGTATTGTTTTACGCCGCTTCTTGTTGACTTGATTGTACGGGTTCAGAGGGAAGTGTATCACACGTAGATCCTGACGTCACCGTAGTTGCGCCAGGCGGGAAGTATCACGCGTAGATATCTACTACAACGTAGTTGCACCAGGCGGGAAGTATCACGCGTAGATACCTACTACACCGTAGTTGCGCCAAGCGGGATGTATCACACGTAGATCCTGACGTCACCGTAGTTGCGCCAGGCGGGAAGTATCACGCGTAGATCCCGACGTCACCGTAGTTGCACCAGGCAGGAAGTATCACGCGTAGATACCTACTACAGCGTAGTTGCGCCAGGCGGGAAGTATCACGTGTAGATACCTACTACAGCGTAGTTGCGCCAGGCGGGAAGTATCACGCGTAGATACCTACGTCACCGTAGTTGCACCAGGCGGGAAGTACCACGCGTAGATACATTCTACACCGTAGTTGCACAAGGCGGGAAGTATCACGCGTAGATACCTACTACACCGTAGTTGCACCAGGTGGGAAGTACCACACGTAGATCCCCACTACATCGTACATACGCGAGGGGGAAGTATCACACGTAGATCCCCACTACATCGTACATACGCCAGGTGGGAAGTACCACACGTGGATCCCCACTACATCGTACATACGCCAGGTGGGAAGTACCACACGTAGATCCCCACTACACCGTAGTTGCACCAGGTGGGAAGTACCACACGTAGATCCCCACTACATCGTACATACGCCAGGTGGGAAGTATCACACGTAGATCCCCACTACACCGTAGTTGCACCAGGTGGGAAGTACCACACGTAGATCCCCACTACATCGTAGTTGCACCAGGTGGGAAGTACCACACGTAGATCCCCACTACATCGTACATACGCCAGGTGGGAAGAATCACACGTGGATCCCCACTACATCGTACATACGCCAGGTGGGAAGTACCACACGTAGATCCCCACTACACCGTACATACGCCAGGTAGGAAGTACCACACGTAGATCCCCACTACATCGTACATACGCCAGGTGGGAAGTACCACACGTAGATCCCCACTACACCGTACATACGCCAGGTGGGAAGTACCATACGTAGATCCCCACTACATCGTACATACGCCAGGTGGGAAGTACCACACGTAGATCCCCACTACACCGTACATACGCCAGGTGGGAAGTACCATACGTAGATCCCCACTACATCGTACATACGCCAGGTGGGAAGTACCACACGTAGATCCCCACTACATCGTACATACGCCAGGTGGGAAGTACCACACGTAGATCCCCACTACATCGTACATACGCCAGGTGGGAAGAATCACACGTGGATCCCCACTACATCGTACATACGCCAGGTGGGAAGTACCACACGTGGATCCCCACTACATCGTACATACGCCAGGTGGGAAGTACCACACGTAGATCCCCACTACACCGTAGTTGCACCAGGTGGGAAGTATCACACGTAGATCCCCACTACATCGTACATACGCCAGGTGGGAAGTATCACACGTAGATCCCCACTACATCGTACATACGCCAGGTGGGAAGTACCACACGTGGATCCCCACCACATCGTACATACGCCAGGTGGGAAGTTCCACACGTAGATCCCCACTACACCGTACATACGCCATGCGGAAAGTGACTTCAGGACGTTCATTCTTCACACAACAAGTACCATCTTTTAACGTCTTTTGGTATGACGTGGCCGGGGATCGAACCCCGGACCTTCCGCTCTCCGGGAGGACGCTCTACTACTGGACCACGGAGGCGGTCGTGTTTCTTTGGAGCATGATGCTCATACACATAGTATTTTTTGTTATTGTGGGCAGCACTTAGTGATTGTTTGAGTACCTGGTAATGATAAAACCTTTGTTAATAAATAATTTTAAGCAATGCTACGGTATGACAGGAATTGCTCAAAACGAAGTTGCCAGACATCATAATGTTTATTGAAACACAATATAATCTCTTTGGAGAGGTTATGTACAACAGAGAAACACTCATGAATGGCGTTCCAACAAGACAACCGTATTCGGTTGGTGCATCCACGTAATCGATACCAAACTGCCACATTAACAGCTCGGACAATTCCTTGGTTGAAACTATTTGTTTGTTTTGTTTCTTGTTTAACGCCGCACTCAGCAATATTCCAGCTATGACGGCGGTCTGTAAATAATCGAGTCTGGACCAGACAGTCCAGTGATTGACATCATGAGCATCGATCATGACGATGATATATACATATCAACCAAGTCAGCGAGCCTGACCACCCGATCCCGTTAGTCGCCTCTCACGACAAGCATAGTCGCCTTGTACGGCAAGCATGGGTTGCTGAAGGCCAATTAGTGGCAAAACCGTACGCAACCGGTTGAGGGAGCACAGCATCCGGCCCCGACGTCCAGCGATACGCCCAGTTCTGTTTCCAAGTTACGGTAAGGCTCGCCTAGCTTGGTACTGAAAGTATCCGAGGTTCAGAAGAGTGAGTGAGTGAGTGAGTTGGATTTAACGCCGCTTTTAACAGTATTCCAGTTATATCGCAGCGTGTCAGCTTAATGTGGGAGGAAAGCCCGAAGTGATGCAGGTCTCAGACGTTTACCACTTCGGTGAAACCCACGAGCACGGGGAGGGTGCTGACAAACCTAGAAACATAATTGGGGCGAACCGGGATTCGAACCCACAATCATAGGTTTCTGGCGTGTCCAAGGGACGCAACTCTGCACAGCGAATCGCGGCGCCTTAGACGACTGGGCCACCCGTGCCCCAGGTTCAGAAGAGAACACTGGGACAGTATACTCTTCACAAGTGGTTCTAGGTTTCATCTCGACAGTCTGATGGTAGTGCAAGGGTCTGTAAGCGTCTAGGAGACCGTTTAACGAAGCTTGCGTTACTCAACGGCGTTAGTGTAATGGTATGGGGTGACATCACAACTCATGGGAGACAACTTATGGGAGAACACAACACATCGTCGTTAATGGCAATTTGAATGGCGTTCGCTACCGGGACGACATCGTTCGAAAGCAGGTTCCACCTGTTGTGCAAATGCAGGGACGTAACGTCACGTTGCAGCAGGATAATGTCCTCAGACATTTTGAGGGAGCATAACATTGTTTTACTACCATGATCGGCTGTTTCTCCAGACCTCTCCCCCATGGAACATGTCTGGGATGAGATAGGCCAACGCCTACGACAGGACCAGAACCAGCCGGTAACGCTGCTCAGTTAGGCAATCTTTGGTTGACATTTGGAACAACATCCCCGTGGATGTTTTCTATCATCGTCTTCAATGCACAGCCGCTGCCTCGCCTGTATCAACGCAACTGGTGGTGACACCCGATACTGACATTGTTAATTATGTTGTTACACCACCTCTCTTTTGGTGCGCGTCGCTCTGTCACCTGTTTCCAAGTATGGGTTTTGTTATGATGAAACATTGATCAGACGAATGGCCAAATATTATGTTATTTTCAATAAAATAGCATTTTGACCAGTATATGTGAAGCACTTTTTCCCGCTAGTATAAAACACTCCTACCTTACCAACACAAGTTGTCTGAAGAACCTCATAACCAGTGTACATTCTGTGTAAGTGATGTTACTGGCGGTGGGGTGAGGTGAGGTGAAATTGGGTTTAACGTCGCGTCCAAGATTATTGCACTTATATAGCGACTTGCATGAACGAGTATGTGTTTGTGTGGCTGCTTGTACTAGTCCGGACTGATGCCGATTTATAGTGCTAGCTCACTGAGATACCATGCCGCAGTTTAACATGAATACCCCACTCAAACACAGTAAACTGACACCGAGCCGACCAGTCCTTGTTTTAGCCCCTTAATGCCGACCGCCAGGCAGGGTAACAACAAGTACCATCTTTTAGCGTCTTTTGGTATGACGCGGCCGGGGATCGAACCCCGGACCTTCCGCTCTCCGGGCGGACGCTCTACCACTAGACCACGGAGGCGGTCTACTGGCGGTGGGAATTGTTGTCGTTATATATGAAGTAATTACAAGTGGCAGGAACTGAACTACAAGTGAAAAATAGCAAGTGTTTGAACAAAAAACAACAGCAGTGAGTGGAGTTTTTCAGAATGGTTTTGTGCTAGAACTAGAGTTATCTGCCCTTGTAGTGTACATGGACACGGCAGGCCTGATTGTTTTCTGGATGGGGCAGTTTCTAACGGGCTGGCTGTAACTATTTAAGATCCTCATAACTTGGACTATGTAACCGTTCAGTGGACCCTGTCCAATTGAAGCTCTAATATAATGTGCATATGTATATTCAGACGCGGGGGCACGGGTTTGCCCACTCGTCTAAGGCGCCGCGATTCGCTGTGCCAGAAACCTATGATTGTGGGTTCGAATCCCGGTTCGCCCCGATTATGTTTCTAGGTTTGTCAGCACCATACCCGTGCTTGTGAGTTTCACCAAAGTAGTAAATGTCCGAGACCTGCATCATTTCTGGCCTTCCTCCCACATTAAGCTGACACGCCGCGATAAAACTGGAATTCTGTTAAAAACGGCGTTAAATCCAACTCATTATTCAGACGCGTCCAACGAATAGCGGAACTGTAGCTTGCAGTCCGCCATCTTCTCCTGGTACAGCTGGTCGAACCACTCGTTCTGGGCCACAGTGAACCAGTTCTTCCAGTCGCCCACTTCACCTGGAAATATGTAACAAATATGCAAGAAGCATGTCTTTCTGTGAATGAAGGAGCTGAACAATGCTTTAAAACACATGTTATGGGGTTAAACCTTAAGATACCTTACTTTCCAGATATTTGTTAAAAAAAGTGATTTTTGTAAAAGAATATTCCAGGTCCTCCCCAGAATATTCAGTGGCTCGTCCTTATATAAAAAGCGTTCTGTATAGTCCCGTCTACCCCACAAGTTTGAAAATAATATTGTCATGAATTATGCGATATAAGCATAAAGCAAATCATAGGCCTTGAAAGTTGAAGAACTCCAAATATGTAAAAGTCATACATTGCTACGTTAATCCAGACGATACCGTTCCCACTGAAACGTCCAGATTGACAAGTACGTAGTAATATCCTGCCGTTCTAAATATTGTCTGGAGGAAGGAGCTTTCAGTCTGAACCCTAACACGGCCAGACATTGAAGTGTATATGAAGCAGATACCACAGACGTCAATCTCCCGTTCGGGCATTTCCGTCGAGCAGAGTGACACAGGTGGAATGCGATCGCTCATTGGTCCTTGGTTTCCCTCCTCGTTGGAACTATGTCGTGTCTTCATTCGTTGGTTAAAAATAGAGACTACATCGTGCAGCGGTCGTATATTTTTGTTTGTTGATCAACGCCGCACTCAGCAATATTCCAGCTATATGGCGGTCTGTAAATAAATTGAACCAGACAATCCAGTGATTAACATCATGAGCATCGATCTACGTAACTGGAATACGATGACAAGCAACCAAGTCCTCGAGCCTTACCCCCCGATTAGTCGCCTCTTACGACAAGCATGGGTTGCTAAAGACCTAGCCGATCCCGTTAGTCGCCATTTACGACAAGCATGGGTTGCCGAAGACCTACCCGATCCCGTTAGTCGCCTCTTACGACAAGCATGGGTTGCTGAAGACCTACCAGATCCCCTTAGTCGCCTCTTACGACATGCATGGGTTGCCGAAGACCTACCCGATCCCGTTAGACGCTACTTACGACAAGCATGGGTTGCCGAAGACCTATTCGATCGCCTTAATCGCCACTTACGACAAGCATGGGTTGCTGAAGACCTACCCGATCCCGTTAGTCGCCACTTACGACAAGCATAGGTTGCTGAAGACATACCCGATCCCGTTAGTCACCACTTACGACAAGCATGGGTTGCCGAAGACCTACTCGATCGCCTTAGTCGCCACTTACGACAAGCATGGGTTTCAGAAGACCTACCCGATCCCGTTACTCGCCACTTACGACAAGCATAGGTTCCTGAAGACCTACCCGATCCCGGTAGTCACCACTTACGACAAACATTGGTTTCAGAAGACCTACCCGATCCCGTTAGACGCTACTTACGACAAGCATGGGTTTCAGAAGACCTACCCGATTCCGTTACTCGCCACTTACGACAAGCATAGGTTCCTGAAGACCTACCCGATCCCGTTAGTCACCACTTACGACAAGCATGGGTTGCTGAAGACCTACCCGATCCCGTTAGTCGCCACTTACGACAAGCATGGGTTGCCGAAGACCTACCCGATTCCGTTACCCTCCACTTACGACAAGCATAGGTTCATGAAGACCTACCCGATCCCGTTAGTCGCAACTTACGACAAGCATGGGTTGCTGAAGACCTACCCGATCCCGTTACTCGCCACTCACGACAAGCATGGGTTGCTGAAGACCTACCCGATCCCGTTAGACGCCACTTACGACAAGCATATGCATGGGTTGCTGAGGACCAATTCGGTCGTATGTGTTAATGGGTGACTGAGGAACGTTGTAACCACAAGCTGGTGAAGTATTTTACCCAAAATGACAAATTGTGTATTTTATCTCCATCACACACCGGTAGCGGCTTCTCGGGTCGATTTCTTGCCTTAAAAACTGATACCATTTTCATTTTCCGACAACGCTCTGTGGCGCTCTTTTGTTTATAACGGGTATCCAGGAGACCCAAGCCGTGGTATATCTACAGTAACTGTACCTACAACCATTCTGGTGAAGATAATTCCAAGCTACACATCACTGTTATTTCATGTTTTGTATTTAAATTTCGATTAACCAACATATCTCAACGGTCCCTTGTGCGTAAAGACAATGCTTCACTGTAGTCTTGATAGAAATGTAAATTGACCTTTTCTGTATGCTTTGGCAGCACGTGCGGATGCAGCATTTGCCTTCATGTTGTCAAAGCTGCACGTGCGACACACGTGCTCCAGGTATTCCTCGCTCCTCTCCACGCCAAGGAATACAGACAGTCTCTTCGCCTCCCGCACTGGATTCTTGGTAAGATCAAATAAATATACGTTTAATTTGAAGAATTATGTCTCGATACGGTTTCATTTTAGCATAATGCGTCTTTCTGGCATTAATTATCATTTAATCATGTTAAACTGTTCAAAAATCTTCTATTCACAATCCCGCAAATAATGCGGGGATTTTATTACACTTCAAACAATATTGTCACTATCCATCTTCAGAATGGAATTGAGACAGGATTTATAAGGTTTGTTTGTTTTTGTTTGTTCTTTAACGCCGCACTCAGCAATATTCCAGCTATATGACGGCGGTCTGTAAATAATCGAGTCTGGACCACACAATCCAGTGATTAATATCATGAGCATCGATCCACGCCATTGGGATCGATGACATGCATCAACCAAGTCAGCGAGCCTGACCACCCGATCCCGTTAGTCGCCTTTTACGACAAGCATAGTCACTTTTTACGGCAAGCATGGGGTGCTGAAGACCTATTCTACCCCGGATCTTCAAGGGTAGGTGTTCTGAAGCGTCCGGGAACAATTGTCCGGGAACAAGTTTCATGTTCCTGGACACAGTGGTTGACGCATTGGTACACAACAGCTTCGCGGAAAGCGTTAAAGTTGGCATGCAGCACGTGCTTCTTGCTGGATGAGCGCAAAATGCGCATGCTCTAGAAACAGATTTTTTCAGTTGTCTTCTGGCATTCATATGGGCAAGGAGTAAATGGATATCTCTCTCTAAGTTAGCAAATAGTGAATTAGAATATTACAGAAATAGAATAGAACAGAATAGAAATAGTTGAGAGAGTTACCCATTTACATTGTTACCATACGGCAACTTCACTTTTAGTTTCAAATCCATTTCATTTGATCTTATCACATTTTCATTGTTTAGTTGATTACAAGGGGATTTCACGTTTAGTTGATTATAAGGGGATTTCACGTTTAGTTGATTATAAGGGGATTTCACGTTTAGTTGATTACAAGGGGATTTCACGTTTAGTTGATTGAAAGGTAAGTTCATGTTTAGTTTAGTTTAGTCTTCCACTGCGAAACAGTAGGTATACAAGGTGTTCAGTTATGTAAAAAGATGATGTGAGTCAGTTAGTGAGTGAGTCGCGCTCAAAGCTGTTTTACAGAAATAGCGAGGTGGGCCTACATACTGTACAGCATAGGAAACACGATGATATAATAAGAATAGATTACAGGTATATACGAGAGATTAGCTAAATCTTCACCGTGCTCTTGTGCAATGATACTGGCGTAGCAACGGACGACCTCTTTTCTGATTTGTTTGTTGTTTAACGCCGCACTCAGCAATATTCCGGCTATATGACGGCGATCTGTAAATAATCTAGTCTGGACCAGACAATCCAGTGATTGACATCACGAGCATCGATCTAAACAATTTTGGATACGATGACATTCATAAAAAATATCAGCGAGCCTGCCCACCCGATCCCGTTACTCGCCTCGTACGACAAGCATGAGGTGGGCACAGGTGGTCCAGTCATCTAAGGCGCCGCGATTCGCTGTGCAGAGTTGTGTCCCTTCGGCACGTCAAAAATCAATGATTGTGGGTTCGAATCCCGGTTCGCTCCGATTATGTTTCTAGGTTTGTCAGCACCATACCTGAAGTGGTAAACGTCTGAGACCTGCATCACTTGGGGCTTTCCTCCCACATTAAGCTGACACGCCGTGAAATAACTGGAATACTGTTAATTGCTGCGTTAAACCCAACTCACTCACTCACTAATGTGTTAAAAAAGACCCAAAGGATGTTGATTATTTTTGTGAAACCCCGGGGAAGGGTATAGAGCTGCCAGACAAGCATAATCGGCGATTCTCTGATCCTTGTACATCTAAGGGAGGCAACTCGACACCGCGAATTGTAGCATATTAGGTCAGTAAGTGATAAGGGTGACAATCTGACCTCTTTGACATCTTCATAAAACAGGGTGTGTATCTGAAGGGCCGGGTGCGTCCTTTTAACCTCCTCCCACTCCCGAACAGAATCGAACCACGACCCGTACTGGACTGAAATGTAAGGCGCCATGTCAAATATATTATGTAATTATGAATTTCTAAGACACAATGCACAGTCTCTTACGCTACTGGGGCGGTCGGGTAGCCTAGTGGTTAAACCGTTCGCTCGTCACGCCAAAGACCCGGGTTCGATTCCCGACATGGGCACAATGTGTGAAGCCCATTTCTGGTGTCCCCCGCCGTGATATTGCTGGAATATTGCTAAAAGCGGCGTAAAACCATAGACACTCACTCACTCCTACGCTACTGTTTGTTTGTTGTTTAACGCCGCACTCAGCAATATTCATGCTATATGATGGCGGTCTGTAAATAATGGAGCCTGGACCAGACAATCCAGTGATTGACATCATGAGCATCGATCCACGCAGTTGGGATACGATGACATGCAACTCAGCTAGCCTGACCATCCGACCACGTTAGTCGCCTTTTACGGGGCGGTCGGGTAGTCTGGTGGTTAAAGCGTTCGCTCGTCACGCTGAAAACGCGGGTTCGATTCCCGACATGGGTACAATGTGTGAAGCCCATTTCTGGCGACCCCCGCCGTGATATTGCTGGAATATTGCTAAAAGCTGCGTAAAATCAAACTCACTCACTCACTAGTCGCCTTTTACGGACAGCACGGGATGCTTAAGACCAATTCTACCCGGGATCTTCACGGGTCCCTACGCTACTGTTCTTAGTGTATTGTCAGAAAGGGTTCTGCTATATCACGATGGACTGTAAAACGTCGAATCTTGACCAGACAAACCAGATGACGGAATTAGCAACGACCGTCGGGATGCGAAGACACACAATCAGCAAGTCATCGAGCCTGACCATACGATCCCCATTTTGTCGCCTGTCGCGTCACCCCCGTGCCCGGGGGACTTTCCAACCCCAGAATACCCACAGTGACTGACGGCGATACTGAATACATCAAAGACAATGATGATTACGTAAGTTACTTTCGACGACGGGGGCACGGGTAGCCAAGTGGTCTAAGGCGCCGCGATTCGCTGTGCAGAGTTGGGTCCCTTGGGCACGCCAGAAACCTATGATTGTGGGTTCGAATCCCGGTTCGCCTCGATTATGTTTCTAGGTTTGTCAGCACCAAACCCGTGCTCATGGGTTTCACCGAAGTGGTAAACGTCTGAGACCTGCATCACTTCCCCCGATTTTGTATGTGTGAGTATAAAGTGTTTTTATTACGCCTGTACTAGGTTTCCAGCAATATTATTTCGCGCACATTGTGAGCATGTGGGGAATCGAAGCCGGGTCTCTCTCTCTCTCTCTCTCTCTCTCTCTCTCTCTCTCTCTCTCTCTCTCTCTCTCTCTCTCTCTCTCTCTCTCTCTCTCTCTCTGCATGTCTCCGTATCCCAATTGCGTAGATCGATGTTCATGATGTCAATCACTGGATTGTCTGGTCCAGACTCGATTATATACAGACCGCCGTAATATAGCTGGAATATTGCTGAGTGCGGCGTTTAACAACAAACAAAAACAAACAAACCTTATAAATCCTGTGTCAGTTCCATTCAGAAGACGGATAGTGACAATATTGTTTGAAGTGTAATAAAATCCCCGCATGCCCGTGAAGATTAAAAGTAAATACTCTCTTTCCTAATGTATGTGTGTTCCTGCGCAACATACTTTCTTAAATTCACGGCCATTTATTTGACGACCATCCGCCATGATATAGCTGGAATATTGCTAAAAGCGGCGTAAAACCCAACTCACTCACTCACTATTTCACGACCGTGCTTTTTCCTAAGGGCGCTTGTCTTATTGAGGGAATTTACACAAATGCCATTTTAATCGGAAACCCCTCCAAATTCTCTAATACTCCTCGCTTTAAGGCAAGCAGTGTGTACTCACATTTTCCCTGAGCGAAGGGCCGGAGGTAATTCGCCCATTCTCCTTTGTAAGGCACTCGCGCTGACCTATTAAAATTATAATACGAAACTGCGACGTCCTTCGGGTTCCTCAATATATAGACGACCTTGACCTTCTTGTTAAAGACACTTGGGGGTAAGTGTTGGACTCCCACGTGGGTGTTGAGGAGTCGAGGAGATGGGAGGTCGATGTATCCAGACTCCGGCGACCTCTCCAACATTGTGAGCATCTTGTCTCTGTCATCAGCGTCCAGTCTTCCGGCCAGTACCAGCCGAGTGACCTCCCACATCCAATGACTACCTGTAGGAACAGAGACACCTCCTTTGACGATTCTATTGGTCACATCGACATACATGTAGACTTGCACATGTCTTGAAGGCAATAATTATTTGTTTAAATCATAATTCCTAAAGTATATAATAATAAGAACAAATTGTCCATCCAAAAAAGACTGGCGTATTAAAATGTCCGCTTATCTAGACTTAATTAATGGGTAGAATTACTACACATCCATGGGCCTATCTTTCAGTACAGCCTTGGAGCAAGGCTAACATACACGCGAAGGGAGATACTTAGTAATCCGTGCTTGTTTTACTAGAAGCGATACCGTCCGCATTAACGGGGTTTCGCTGTACACGGCTTGTACGTCATAGCGTAGACAAGTTTTTATTTTAAAACGACAACATGTACACATTTTAACGTTACTGGTGTTATATATCCAGGTGAAAATATATCCATGGTATTATAAGGGAGGTTTGAGCGCCTTAGGTAACAGCCATGTTACGTCCAGCATTCGCAGTTTTGCGAAACCCATTTCCATTGGTCGGGCTCAGTAAGAACAGGGGTCATAATCGGCACGCAAAACCAGCTGATCTTGGCAGCTAAGGGACACAACTCTGCCTCGCCTTAGACGAAGTGGACATCCGTCCTTGCTTTACATCTTCCCATGGCAAGGGAGTTAACTGACTACACAAGTCCAGTTTCCATCCTTGCCGAACTAGGCTGGTATTATGGAGTTATTTTGGCTGGACTAACGAGTCTGTGCATAGTCCAGCCAAAATCGCTTAACGAAATCGACATCCGGTTCGTAAACTGGCGCCAAGATTTCGGTCGATTGCGGGATTTGCATACCATGTGTACCGCCAACTGGGCGTCAACAGATATTTTCCACATCTTTTCGTGTTTTTAATCAAGGTGCTCGTCTGATTTGATGCACATCGCGAAGTAAGACCCGTTTTATCACAATATAGATTTTGATTGTCGATCAGATCGTCTTCACTGGGCGCCGCCATTTTGTTTGAAGCAAATGTAAGCGATATATGAGGTGGAATCTGATTGGTCAATAGGAAGGACATACAGGGATACAACTCATAACAGCCACTGGTGGTTCGACAAGGGTAGGTGGTGAGGTGAAATGAGGTTTAACGTCGCGTCCAAGATTATTGCACTTATATAGCGACGTGCATGCGTACGTGCGTGCGTACGTGCGTGTGTGTGGCTGCTTGTACAAGTCCGGACTGATGCCGATTTATAGTGCTAGCACACTGAGATATCATGCCGCAGTTTAACATGAATACCCCACTCAGACACAGTATACTGACTCCGAGCCGACCAGTCCTTGTTTTACCCCCTAAATGCCAAGCGCCAGACAGGGTAACAACAAGTACCATCTTTTAGCGTCTTTTGGTATGACGCGGCCGGGGATCGAACCCCGGACCTTCCGCTCTACCATTAGACCATGGAGTCGACAAGGGTAGAAACTGGACTTTTACTGTCAGTTAACTCCCTTGCTTCGGGAAGATGTTGCTTTATGTCCGTAGAATAAACATAACCATAAACGGGGAAAATGTCATAATGTTCATCACACATGTAAACGTACCTGACTTGGGGTAGGCACAAAGGATGATATCGCCGTCGCGGATGTCGATGGAACTGATGTTGCGGATGATGTCGGGGTCGAAGTTGGGGAATATGACGCCGTTGTAGTCTACAGCCGTAACAACATCTCCGCCTTCGTCGGGGATTTCAACAACGGACATCTGTGTAATCAATAGGACATAATCATCACGTAATTATCTGTTTACTCATGTTAATCAAATAGGAATTCTTTGTTCTATTCTTAAATCATTCCTTGAGCATCGGGCGAAAGTATCCCCGAATTATACCTTATAGAGGGGAACATTTGGATCGGTGTGTGTGTGTGGGGGGGGGGGGGGGGGGGGGGGGGGGGCAGTCGTCTAAGGCGTCGCCATTCGCTGCGCAGAGTTGCGTCCCTTGGGTACGCCCGAAACCTATGATTGTGGGTTCGAATCCCGGTTCGCCCAGATTATGTTTCTAGGTTTGTCAGCACCATACCCGTGCTCATGGGTTTCACCGAAGTGGTAAACGTCTGAGACCTGCATCACTTCGGGCTTTCCTCCCACATTAGACTGACACGCCGCAATATAACTGGAATACTGTTAAAAGCGGTGTTAAACACAACTCACTCACTCACTCAAAAATCTCACTCAAATAATGCGGGGATTTTATAACACTTCAAACAATATTGTCACTATCCGTCTTCTGAATGGAATTGACACAGGATTTATAAGGTTTGTTTGTTTTTGTTTGTTGTTTAACGCCGCACTCAGCAATATTCCAGCTATATGACGGCGGTCTGTAAATAATCGAGTCTGGACCAGACAATCCAATTATTGAATTTTTCTCCATCTGAAATACTGTTCAAAGCCAAGTTAAACCAAATTCGCCCGCTCCCTCCCTCGCCTATAGTCGATTAAATGACAAAGGTGATGTCTCTTTAGATAAAGGATAAAGCAGGACTCTGAGGTTATGGTCGAGAAAGTAAGACCGAGACAAGAGGGTATCGGCAACGTAAGACCGAGGAGCGAAGCCTCGAGGTACTACATTGCTGATACCCGAGTGGGAAAACAGAGGGTTACAAAACTTAACATGTGATGTTGCAGGTTCGATTCCCGCCATCAATAATGAAAAAAGATTCATTTCTTGTCCTCGATTTTAGAACATTGGAAGTTTGAAACACTAATTCCAACTGCGACCCAAATCATCAGGTCTTACCAGCAAAAAGTAAAACCTCAGATTTCTACAGCAACCCATGCTTGTGGTAAGAGGCGACTAACGGGATCGGGTGGTCAGGCTCGCTGACTTGGTTAATGCATGTCATCGTATCCCAATTGGGTAAATCGATGCTCATGATGTCAATCACTGGATTGTCTGGTCCAGACTCGATTATTTACAGACCACCGTCATGTAGCTGGAATATTGCGGCGTTAAACAACAAACATCATCATCATCACGAGATATCTACACAATAGGCAGTAGCTTCATAACTAACCGCCATTCCAAGTTACTTGTTGGAAGATAGAGAGCTACAGAAACGAGGGCGGTGTGGTTCATAAGTAAAAAGGATCACATTGAACAGCACTAATATATTGAACGCTTAAATTACGGACAATTTTAACGAAAGATTCAAAGCTAACTGTTGACTGCTCACCTTAGCCTGGTCGTGCGTGTGTCTGAGTCATATTGCTCCACAATGAATGGACGCTTGCACCATATATTATCTTGCGCCCTTTGACCTGACCTATTATTGTCTGATATCTGGTTTCCGAATCATGGGACTCCGCTCCACTCACACTCCACGCCACACCCTTTTCCACGATCGAGAAGTTTGTAACACTAAGACGTCTACCACCTCTTTGTTGTGATATTTCAAACTAGCACGCTCTTTTTTTGTTTGTTTGTTGTGTAACGCCGCACTCAGCAATATTCCAGCTATATGACGGCGGTCTGTAAATAATCGAGTCTGGACCAGACAATCCAGTGATTGATATCATGAGCATCGATCCACCCATTGTGATTTTGGAAGGAACCATCACTGGACAGCGTCACATTAACCAGTGTCTCTACCCTGTTGTGCCACCGTTCTTGCAATAGAATGTCCGGACCCTGTTTCAACAAGATAACACAAGGCCCCACACAGTCTTGCCTTGGCCAGCACAATCACCAGACTTATCACCTATAGAACACTTGTGGGATGACCTCGACCGTTAATTAGAGCACGACCAGGTCGCCCTTATACCAAGGATGAGGTAGCACAGGCCCTCCGAGTAGAATGGCGTTAAACCCTTTTCTTGTGATCAGACGTCTCACATCTTCTGCCTGTCGTCGAGTTGGGCGTGCATTGAGTGAGTGAGTTGGATTTAACGCCGCTTTTAACAGTATTCCAGTAATATCGCGGCGTGTCAGCTTAATGTGGGAGGAAAGGCCGAAGTGATGCAGGTCTCAGACGTTTACCACTTAGGTGAAACCCACGAGCACGGGTATGGTGCTGACAAACCTAGAAACATAATTGGGGCGAACGCCGCACTCAGCAATATTCCAGCTATATGACGGCGGTCTGTAAATAATCGAGTCTGGACCAGACAATCCAGTGATTGATATCATGAGTATCGATCCACGCAATTGGGATCGATGACATGCATCCACCAAGTCAGCGAGCCTGACCACCCGACGCCGTTAGTCGCCTCTTACGGCAAGCATGGGTTGCTGAAGCCCTATTCTACCCCGGATCTTCACGGGTTACAAACATGGTATGAAGTGAGAACGAGTTTAATATCCTGTAAGTACTTGTTATTCGATGTCCTTGGGCGTGTCAGTAACCTTTGACGTTGGGTTCGAGTTCCTGTTCGCCCTGACGATGGTTCTGGGTTTGGAAGCAACAGGTCCGTGCTTGTTGGTTCCACTAAAGTGGCAAAGCTAAAAAAACAGCATCACTTTGGACTTTCAACCCAAATCCAGCTGACACGATGTGATAGGTTTGAAGTGCTGTTCAAAGCGGCGTTAACCCCAACACACTAAGACACTCGACACCGTCATCAGTTACAGATGGGTGGACTATCACTGCTTTAAAAAACACAAAATGTCCTCCCGTGAAAGGAGCCAAGTTTCTTTTTTATTTTTATAATGTTTGTTTACAGTTGAGAGGAAGTGAAATGTACGGTGGCCCATATGCAAATTAACACGATTTGTCATACAAATATGTGATAAATCATGTATAAAGTAGATACTGAATCGCTGAAAAGCGAAAATGTCAAAAACTAAAATGGAAATGTCAAAAACTAAAATGAAAATGTCAAAAACAAAAACGAAAATGTCAAAAACTAAAATCAAAATACAGAAAAGTATTTCCTTCCACCGCGGTGAAAACTTATTTGTTTTGGACATTTCCATTTTAGTTTTTGACATTTTCGCTTCACATTTCAGCGATTCAATAGCTACTTTATACACGATTTATCACATATTTTTATTACAAATTTACGATAAAAGTAAGTGAAATATCAAAATATTGAAAAAAAACAGACTCCATGTCCCTTATTGGCCACCATAGAAATGAAATGGGGTTTCACGTCCCTTCCAGGATTATTGCAGTTATATACCGACGGATGTACGAAGGTGCGTCTGCCTGTACTGGTTCGGACTTGTGACGGTTTTATAGTGCTAGCCCACTGAGGTACCATGCCGCAGTTGTACATGGATACCCCACTCAGACACAGTATACCGCGCCGACCCGCCCTTGTTTTATCCCCTCAATACCGAGCGCCAGGCAGGGTAACAACAAGAACCATCTTTTAACTTCTTTTGGTATATGACACGGCGCACCGCCGACCCACCGCGCTGATCCACACGCTCTATCCACTAGACCACATATATTTGGCTTAACATAAACAATTTTTCTTCTCTGAAATACTACCACCTTTTCTATCTACAGTAAACTACGTTTATAACGAACACGCTTAAAACAAACTGACGGATATAACGAACTGTTTTTTTTGGTCCCGTCCATTAACTGTATATATGTTGTATATATGATTATAATAAACTACGGCTATAACGAACTAAATTTAGTGGTACCTTTGAGTTCGTTATAACCGTAGTTTACTGTATAATAGAATGGCGATATAATGCCATGGGTAACTGAGGATGTATCAACTCCTGGAAGCTTTAAAACAAGTTTACTTCGAACTGTATTTAATATCCAGGTGACAGTCTCCCATCTTCTCGGCATATAACATATCAAACCACTCATTTTGGGCTACGGTGAACCAATTTTTCCAGTCGCCAATTTGACCTAAAACAAACATCACAAGGGTATGAGTGGGTGCTTGTGGATACTTCTCAATTTGTGATAGAGACATTGTTGTATGCTTATCAAGAATTAACAGAAGTGCCCTATCAAATGTTGAGAAGTATATATCACAGCGTGTCAGCTTGATGTAGGGGAAATCCCGATTTGATTGCAAATCGTAGATGTTTGAATAGAGGCCTAAATGAGTTGATATACATTTATCACATTAATGAAATTTCGATTGAAATCAACTTTCTTATACTATTCGGTTATACGTTACATCCTATACCCAGTGAGCGATTGTATGTTGTTTTATGCCACAGTCAGCAATAATCCAGCTTTACCATTGTGGCCAGTGAATACACCCGTCTGTGCCAGTCTTATCAGTGGTTGATAGCACGACCATCAGTCCGCGCCATTGTGGCCAGTGAATACACCCGTCTGTGCCAGTCTTATCAGTGGTTGATAGCACGACCATCAGTCCGCGCCATTGGGGCACGGTGTCCCATAATCAGTCTGTCATTCCGTCTGTCATTCCGTCTGTCATCAGTCTGTCATTCCGTCTGTCATCAGTCTGTCATCAGTCTGTCATCAGTCTGTCATTCCGTCTGTCATCAGTCTGTCATCAGTCTGTCATCAGTCTGTCATCAGTCTGTCATTCCGTCTGTCATCAGTCTGTCATCAGTCTGTCATCAGTCTGTCATCAGTCTGTCATCAGTCTGTCATAATCAGGATGCCCGATCCTCATTCTAGGCGGGTCTGTTTCAGGTACCCAAATGGGGGCCTATTCTAACTTGGAATCATCAGGTTGTGTTGCAGGGGACCTATTCTAATCCAGAATCTCCACAGGGTCATTAGGTTGTGTTGCTGGGGAACTATTCTAATCCAGAATCTCCACAGGGTCATAAGGTTGTGTTGCTGGGGACCTATTCTAACCCAGAATCTTCACAGGGTCATTAGGTTGTGTTGCTGGGGAACTATTCTAATCCAGAATCTCCACAGGGACATTAGGTTGTGTTGCTGGGGACCTATTCTAATCCAGAATCTCCACAGGATCATTAGGTTGTGTTGCTGGGGAACGATTCTAACCCAGAATCTCCACAGGGTCATTAGGTTGTGTTGCTGGGGAACTATTCTAATCCAGAATCTCCACAGGGACATTAGGTTGTGTTGCTGGGGAACTATTCTAATCCAGAATCTCCAAAGGGACATTAGGTTGTGTTGCGGGGGAACTATTCTAATCCAGAATCTCCACAGGGTCATAAGGTTGTGTTGCTGGGGAACGATTCTAATCCAGAATCTCCACAGGGTCATTAGGTTGTGTTGCGGGGGAACTATTCTAATCCAGAATCTCCACAGGGTCATTAGGTTGTGTTGCTGGGGAACGATTCTAATCCAGAATCTCCACAGGGTCATTAGGTTGTGTTGCGGGGGAACTATTCTAATCCAGAATCTCCACAGGGTCATAAGGTTGTGTTGCTGGGGACCTATTCTAATCCAGAATCTCCACAGGGTCATTAGGTTGTGTTGCTGGGGACCTATTCTAATCCAGAATCTCCACAGGATCATTAGGTTGTGTTGCTGGGGAACGATTCTAACCCAGAATCTCCACAGGGTCATTAGGTTGTGTTGCTGGGGAACTATTCTAATCCAGAATCTCCACAGGGACATTAGGTTGTGTTGCTGGGGAACTATTCTAATCCAGAATCTCCAAAGGGACATTAGGTTGTGTTGCGGGGGAACTATTCTAATCCAGAATCTCCACAGGGTCATAAGGTTGTGTTGCTGGGGAACGATTCTAATCCAGAATCTCCACAGGGTCATTAGGTTGTGTTGCTGGGGAACTATTCTAATCCAGAATCTCCACAGGGTCATTAGGTTGTGTTGCTGGGGAACGATTCTAATCCAGAATCTCCACAGGGTCATTAGGTTGTGTTGCGGGGGAACTATTCTAATCCAGAATCTCCACAGGGTCATAAGGTTGTGTTGCTGGGGACCTATTCTAATCCAGAATCTCCACAGGGTCATTAGGTTGTGTTGCTGGGGACCTATTCTAATCCAGAATCTCCACAGGGTCATAAGGTTATGTTGCTGGGGACCTATTCTAATCCAGAATCTCCACAGGGTCATTAGGTTGTGTTGCTGGGGACCTATTCTAATCCAGAATCTCCACAGGGTCATTAGGTTGTGTTGCTGGGGACCTATTCTAATCCAGAATCTCCACAGGGTCATTAGGTTGTGTTGCTGGGGACCTATTCTAATCCAGAATCTCCACAGGGTCATTAGGTTGTGTTGCTGGGGACTTATTCTAACCCAGAATCTCCACAGGGTCATTAGGTTGTGTTGCTGGGGACCTTTTCTAATCCAGAATCTCCACAGGGTCATTAGGCTGTGTTTGCTAGAGACCTATTCTAATCCAGAATCTCCACAGAGTCATAAGGTTGTGTTGCTGGGGACCTATTCTAACCCGGAATCTCCACAGGGTCATTAAATTGTGTTGCTGGGGACCTATTCTAACCCGGAATCTCCACAGGGTCATAAGGTTGTGTTGCTGTGGACCTATTCTAACCCGGAATCTCCACAGGGTCATAAAATTGTGTTGCTGTGGACCTATTCTAACCCGGAATCTCCACAGGGTCATTAGGTTGTGTTGCTGGGGACCTATTCTAACCCGGAATCTCCACAGGGACATTAGGTTGTGTTGCTGTGGACCTATTCTAACCCGGAATCTCCACAGGGACATTAGGTTGTGTTGCTGTGGACCTATTCTAACCCGGAATCTCCACAGGAACATAAGGTTGTGTTGCGGGGGACCTATTCTAATCCAGAATCTCCATAGGGACATAGGGTTGTGTTGCTGGGGACCTATTCTAATCCAGAATCTCCACAGGGACATAATGTTGTGTTGCGGGGGACCTATTCTAACCCGGAATCTCCACAGGGTCATTAGGTTGTGTTGCTGGGGAACTATTCTAATCCAGAATCTCCATAGGGACATAGGGTTGTGTTGCTGGGGACCTATTCTAATCCAGAATCTCCACAGGGACATAAGGTTGTGTTGCGGGGGACCTATTCTAACCCGGAATCTCCACAGGGACATAAGGTTGTGTTGCGGGGGACCTATTCTAATCCAGAATCTTCACAGGGACATAAGGTTGTGTTGCGGGGGACCTATTCTAATCCAGAATCTTCACAGGGACATAAGGTTGTGTTGCTGGGGACCTATTCTAATCCAGAATCTCCACAGGGTCATTAGGTTGTGTTGCTGGGGACCTATTCTAATCCAGAATCTCCACAGGGACATTAGGTTGTGTTGCTGTGGACCTATTCTAACCCGGAATCTCCACAGGGTCATTAGGTTGTGTTGCTGGGGACCTATTCTAATCCAGAATCTCCACAGGGACATAAGGTTGTGTTGCTGGGGTCCTATTCTAATCCAGAATCTCCACAGGGACATTAGGTTGTGTTGCTGGGGACCTATTCTAATCCAGAATCTCCACAGGGACATTAGGTTGTGTTGCTGGGGACCTATTCCAACCCAGAATCTTACACAGGGTTGTGAAGTTTATCAAAGGGACATTAAGCTGCCACACCATGGCATAACTGACACACAACCAACTCACAAACACTTCTGGCGGCGACCATGCCTACCTTTTCTATAAACTGAATCCCGGGTAACTTTTGATGTGGCCTTGAGTTTCTTCAGGGAGTCAAACTCGCACTGGTTACACACTTGTGTGACAAAAGCTTCACTTCTTTCAACACCCAGGAATTCACATAGTCTCTTTGTCTCTCTGAATGTATCCTGTCATAACAAACCAGCAGGACATTTATAACAGTTGACAAATTTAACATGCTATAAGAATAAATATTTTTCAGGGTCATCATTCTACATCATTTGACAGAATACTGAATTGTCCTCTCCGCTCGATGATCACGTGACAAGGGACATGCTAAAGGACAAATGGTTACTGTCAAACTGATAGCTGAGTGATCTAGATACATGTATATATGTGTTACAGATTTGTGAATGAAAAATAATTCTCCAAATATTTCACAATATGGACAACCAGCTTGCTCATTCCAGCAATGGGCAGGTAATTGTTCTGCCCAAAGAGTTTCTGTGTTTCTCGCTACCGCTGAGGACATTCCATGACAGGTCACGGCAGAACGACCTATCGACCCGAGAAGATCCGGGGTAGAATAGGTCTTCAGCAATGCATGTCGTAAGAGGCGAATAACGGGATCGGGTGGTCAGGCTCGCTGACTTGGTTTTTGCGTGGATAGATGCTCATGGTGTCAATCACTGGATTGTCTGGTCCAGACTCGATTATTTACAGACCGCTGTCATATAGCTGGACTATTGCTGAGTGCGGCGTTAAACAACAAACAAACAAACAGAACGACCTTTCGCGGTCTTTGTCCTTTTGACTTCTGTGAATGAGATTTTAAAACTCATTTTCGTCACTGTCCAATGCCCACAATGGGCAGTTGCACCGACTGGGTGTAACATAGGCACCAATAGTGACGTATATCAGGGCGGCATCTCCACAGGTTTACGAAGTCTACATAGCCCGATGTCCAGCTGGTAACTGACAGGGAACAGAAATGAAGAGGCGTGCAGTCCGGTCTCTAGCCGTGTTGCGGTATCCCTAGCCAGGAGCGGTGTCTCTAGCCAGGGAGAGGTGTCTCTAGCCAGGGAGTGGTGTCTCTAGCCAGGGAGAGGTGTCTCTGTCCAGGAAGAGGTGTCTCTAGCCAGGGAGAGGTGTCTCTAGCCAGGGAGAGGTGTCTCTAGCCAGGGAGAGGTGCCTCTAGCCAGGAAGAGGTGTCTCTAGCCAGGGAGAGGTGTCTCTAGCCAGGGAGTGGTGTCTCTAGCCAGGGAGAGGTGTCTCTAGCCAGGGAGAGGTGTCTCTAGCCAGGGAGAGGTGTCTCTGTCCAGGAAGAGGTGTCTCTAGCCAGGGAGAGGTGTCTCTAGCCAGGGAGATGTGTCTCTAGCCAGTGAGAGGTGTCTCTAGCCAGTGAGAGGTGTCTCTAGCCAGGGAGAGGTGTCTCTAGCCAGGGAGTGGTGTCTCTAGCCAGGGAGTGGTGTCTCTAGCCAGGGAGCGGTGTCTCTGTCCAGGAAGAGGTGTCTCTAGCCAGGGAGAGGTGTCTCTAGCCAGGAAGAGGTGTCTCTAGCCAGGAAGAGGTGTCTCTAGCCAGGGAGTGGTGTCTCTAGCCAGGGAGAGGTGTCTCTAGCCAGGGAGAGGTGTCTCTAGCCAGGGAGAGGTGTCTTTAGCCGGGTTGTTGTCTCTAGCCAGGGAGCGGTGTCTCTAGCCAGGGAGAGGTGTCTCTAGCCAGGGAGAGGTGTCTCTAGCCAGGAGCGGTGTCTCTAGCCAAGGAGCTGTGTCTCTAGCCAAGGAGTGGTGTTTCTAGCCAGGGAGCGTTGTCTCTGTCCAGGGAGAGGTGTCTTTAGCCGAGTTGCTGTGTCTCTAGCCAGGGAGCGATGTCTTTAGCCAAGGAGCGGTGTCTCTAGCCAAGGAGCGGTGTCTCTGTCCAGGGAGCGGTGTCTCTAGCCAGGGAGCGGTGTCTCTGTCCAGGGAGCGGTGTCTCTAGCCAGGGAGCGGTGTCTCTAGCCAGGGAGCGGTGTCTCTAGCCAAGGAGTGGTGTCTCTAGCCAGGGAGCGGTGTCTCTAGCCGGGTTGCTGTGTCTCTCGCCGGGGTGCAGTGTCTTTAGGAGTGTTGCGGTATCCCTAGCCATGAGCGGTGTATCTAGCCAGGGAACGGTGTGCAGAGTTGCGTCCCTTGGGCACGCCAGAAACCTATGATTGTGGGTTCAAATCCCGGTTCGCCCCGATTATGTTTCTAGGTTTGTCAGCACCGTACCCGTGGTCGTGGGTTTCACCGAAGTGGTTCAAGCCTAAGGCCTGCACCACTTTAGGCTTTCCTCCCACATTAAGCTGACACGCTGTTATAAAACTGGAATACTGTAAAAAACGGCATTAAACCCACCTCACTCTCTCACTAAACACAGAGCAGATTCTCACCTGCTTCAAGTTCTCATAATAGATGGTCAGTATGGGGACGTCAGTGGTCTTCTTCACCTCCTCCCAGTCCTTCACGTAGTCAAACCAGGAACCGTAGTCAACTGAAAAAATACACCAGTTCCAACCCTGATATCCTCAATTATCCAGTGTCTGTTTCTAGAAATACCATGGACCTATTCGCAAGCATAGCATCGTTTGGATCCCCAGGCGAGATGCTAAAAACAGACATCCAAACAAAGCACTCTCATGAATGTGAGACAACCTGTGTTGATGTTAGAGATCGTAACATAGGGGGCGTGACTTCATTTCCGATTTTCATCTTCCCGAGGCAAGGGCGTTAACTGACTATAAAAGTCCAGTTTCCAAACTTGCCGAACTTTCGTGCTGTAATTTCGTGGCTCGATCTTTACGCCACCAGTGGCTATTACGAGTTGTGTCCCTTTCATGTCCCTCCTATTGACCAATCAGATTACATCACTCATATCATTTGCTTCATACATAATGGCGGCGCCCAGTCAAGACGATCTGTTCAATAAACAAGACCTGTTTTGTAATAAAACGGGTCTTACCCCGCGAGGTGCATCAAATCACTTGAGCACCTTGATCACAAACATAAAAAGATTTGCAAAATCCTGCAGTCGACCGAAATCTGCACGTTGAAATCCATGCTGTTTTCGAACCGGATGTCTAGTTCGTTACACGGTTTTGATTGGACTATGCATAGACTCGTTAGTCCAGCCAAAACGTAACTCCGGAATTCCAGCCTTGTTCGGCAAGGGTGGAAACTTTTATAGTCAGTTAACTCCCTTGCCTCGGGAAGATGCCGATATTAGGCTATGGTGGCGACTGGATCGAGGGTATTCATCAAAATAGAATGGAGATATAATGGATAATAACTGGACAATCGAACATTTAACGTAGAAAGAGATATCTCAAACAGTTTTAAGGAAATATCAAAAGGGCGCCGCAGGTTATCAACACATTTGTTTGTTTGCTTGCATCAAAAGAAACGAGCGTGAGATCATTTTTATCAGCCTTTGGCAATTCATAGGTGTTTTTTTCTTTTACTTACATTTGCCCTCCATAAGGCTCTTCAAGTAGTTCGTCCATTGTCCATTGTATTTGAAATGTGGCATGCTGATTGCGAAGTTGTAGTAAGACACTGCCAGGTCTTTGGGGTTGCGAATTAGATAGATGATTTTAGGTTTGTTAATGCTCACGTCAACCGGAAGCTGCCGGAAGAGCTGGTGCGAGTTGAGGATTCTGGGAGATGGAAGGTCCTTATAGTCACCCTCATCCCTGAATTCAAGCATGCGCGTCATCTTGCTGACGTCATCACAATCCAGCTTCCCAGCCAGTAGTAAGCGAGTCTTCTCCCACACCCAGTTTGTCCCTACAGATGCAAAGGTGAGTGAGTGAGTGAGTGAGTAGCGTGAGTGATAGAAAGTAAATGAGCCTTCCTAATAGTACCATAGTCAATATTGACAGTAAAGACTGGATGACAACCTCTTTATGTTATTTTTGGTTTGTTTGTTATTTAACGCCGCACTCAGCAATATTCCAGCTATATGACGGCGGTCTGTAAATAATCGAGTCTGGGCCAGGCAATCCAGTGATTGATATCATGAGTATCGATCCACGCAATTGGGGTCGATGACAAGCATAGTCGCCTTCTACGGCAAACATTAGTTGCTGGAGACCTATTCTACCACGGATTTTCACAGGTCGCTAGCATTATAAACCGACATTAGTCAAGACCCAGACCTTCGGCATGGTGTGCCTTATAAGTATACTGAGTGAGTATGGTTTTACGCCGCCTTTAGCAATATTCCAGCACTACCACGGCGGGGGACACCAGGATTGGGCTTCACACATTGTACCCAAGTGAGGAATCGAACCCGGTTCTTTGGCGTGACGAGCGAACGCTTTGACCACGAGGCTACACCATCGCTCCTCCTAATAGTGAGTGAGTGAGTATGGTTTAACGCCGCTTTTAGCAATATTCCAGCAATATCACGGCGGGGGACACCAGAAATGGGCTTCACACATTGTACCCAAGTGAGGAATCGAACCCGGTTCTTTGGCGTGACGACCGAACGCTTTGACCACGAGGCTACCCCATCGCTCCTCCTAATAAGAAAGGTATATTTCGTGTTACCTGACTTCGGGTATGCACAAACAAGGACGTCATCAGATCTGACTTTTACGGCTGGCATGTTGAGGACAGCTTTTTTACAGGGGAAATCTGGGTAGATGTACCCGTTATGATTGGACAGCGTCATCTCGTCACCACCCGCGTCGGCCACAGTCACTGACGTCATGGTGTCTCTAATGATGAAGTTGTCGTTGATACAGCAGTCTGTAAGGTAAAACGTGTGTGTTAGGGGTGGTGAGGTTCGCAGACTTGGTTAATGCATGTCATCGTATCCAAATTGCATCTATCGATGCTTATGATATCAACCACTGAATTGTCTGGTCCAGCCTCGATTATTTACAGATGGCTATCAAAAAGCTGAAATATTGCTGAGTGTGGTCTAAAACAACAAATAAACAAAACCAAAAAATTATTTGAAAAGACTTTTTCAAGCATTTTGTCTTGGCTTCGTTTCTACTATAAACCATGAGCCCACGACAATCAGCTGATAATTCACCTCGCCAACAAGACAAATCAACTTTTTAAAATATATATCTTGATTCAGGAGCGATGAGGTAGCACAGTGGTTAAAGCGTTGGCGCGTCAAGTCGAGGGCCTGGGTTCGATTCGCTATAAGAGTATAATAATGTGTGAAGCTCATTTCCCTCGTCATGATAAACTGCGACACACTATGTGATTTGATCGACAACATTCCTGCCATTTTCTCCCATTTTGAGTGAGTGAGTGAGTTTGGTTTAACGCCGCTTTTAACAGTATTCCAGTCATATCACGGCGTGTCAGCTTAATGTGGGAGGAAAGCCCGAATTCATACAGGTCTCGGACGTTTACCACTTCGGTGAAACCCACGAGCACGGGGAGGGTGCTGACAAACATAGAAACATAATCTGGGCGAACCGGGATTCGAACCCACAATCATAGGTTTCTGGCGTGCCTAAGGGACGCAACTCTGCACAGCGAATCGCTGCGCCTTACACGACTGGGCCACTGACTGCCTGGCGGGGACACCCCTACGCAGCCTCATGGGGGCGCCTACGTTTTGATCTGCCACCATTCGTGACCAACTCCTGTTATTTCGGGACCAGCCGAATAGCGACTCGTGCCCCTCTCGTGGCAATTTTTGCGACCGGGTTCCGTCTTAGCGCAAACGGGCATACCTAAAACAATTGTCAACTCGTTGCGTAATGGTTCACATACATTTCTCCATATATCATTTATATTTCAGATGCAATTAAAAGCACATCAGGACATGCGAAATTATACAGTCTGATTGAACACATTTAACTGTGTCTTGGGTATATTTTTAGATGTAAGACATATGTAAAAAAAATATTTTTGAGGGATTCTTTGATGAAGAACTTGAAGGGGCGAGTGGCGACGAATGGATCCGCCACCTTTCTGTCAGGTTCTAGAGGATTTTAAATGTACGGACATTGTATGTCTCATTAAAGATTTCGTGGAAGTAAAACATTAAGCACATGCACGGTAAGAAAATGTAGAGTTTGTAGTGCCAGAGATAGGCAAAGGTTGACACCACGAAGAGACAAGCTTTATATAATAAGTATATATAAGTAGCAGTGTCAGAGAGAGTTGTGTGGCAGGTAAGATACGTCACATTACCTCTTTCGCCAACATATTTTATTTGTCTCTAAATGATGATGATCTTGATGATGATGGAATGAATTTGAACACGTTGAACAAGGACAATGTCCACAATATTTCTGATGTCTAAACGATGAACGTGCAGAACCAGTAGTATTTTAACAACAGTCGCGGGTGTATACGGGCGTAGTAGTGTATGAAGACTCCTTTAGGATATAATTTGGTAATTAAGTTCAATAAAGTACAGTCTAACAAACAGAGTTCGCTGAAACAGACAAAAACATGACCATCAACGTCGTGAACGGTCAACTGTGTTTATTTGTTTCTAATCTACGATTCCTATTTTGCAATATTTTCTTTATCGTGAATTCATAATCTATACATTTGACTGTGGTCGACAAGAACCTTAAATTTAGAAAAATAAAATAAAAATAAATAGATGTGACTTACTGTATTGTCAGAGGACTTGTTTATGTGGGGGGTGTCACAGGTCTTGTTGACGACAACGTTCACGTCCGCATGAGGCGTTAGTGTCGGTGGGTTCCGTTTTAAAACTTAACTCATCGCATCAAATACTAAGGGACTGTGCTAGCATTGGTTGCGCATCATAGGGAAACCACTTTTCACAATGAGTGAATAAATCTATTGAAATTACCGGTCTGTATAAATGCACCCTACAACCACTTCTTCAGTTCAATGCGATGCGGTTAAGACAAACTCGGTTTGAGCAGGACCCTTTCCATTCATCCATTCCTCCTGAGCAGAGGCCCGTGAAGATGGTTGCCCGGGTCAGGGGTCAAACTGTCTGCTCTGCTAACCACCAATTCAAGTCTATCAGGGCACGTACAGTCCAACAAGTGGGCCGCTGTGAGACCAATAATAATTTTAATAAAGTCTGTTTTGCTCGACTTGCTACCCTTGAAGTTCAGGGTCAAAATAGGTCTTCAGCAACCCATGCGTGTCGTATGAGGCGACTATGCTTGCCTAAAAGGACCACCAACGGAATCGGGTGGTCGCTGACTTGGTAGGTGCTTGTCATCAGAGACCATATAATAAACTAGTGTCCAAAAGAAACGATACCAACTTATTTTCAAAATTGTTTTTTACTAAGTGAATTGTCAAGTATGAAAATATGCCAATTCGTATTGCACATCCCAAACACAGCATAGTCGATAAAAAATACCGGGAACACGTGATCACTTCCGGGAAAAAACGTAAATTTCGTGAAAGTGAAATTTCCCTCTCTAGCATGTTCTGCACGGGCAGAAAAACTGTATAAAACGGCTGATCAGACACGTTGATATCACAGCAACAAAAAGAACACAAGATATGCCACGTTTGACAGCCATCGAGAGAGAGAGAGCCGTTGGAATGGTCCAACAAGGAGCGTCACACGTCGACGTCGCCAGAAGGTTGGGCTGCGCACGCATCACTATCACAAGGTTGATGCAGCGGTTAGGTCAGACAGGTCAGACGTCAGACAGGCCCAGGACTTGTCTATTATATGGTCTCTGATGTCATCGTATCTAAAAAATTCGTAGATCGATGTTCATAAATTCAATCACTGGATTGTCTGGTCCAGACTCGAATATTTACAGTCCGCCATCATATAGCTGGAATATTGCTGAGTCGGGTGTTAAACAACAAACAAAGAAAGTAACATTAATGGAGTGAGTGAGTATGGTTTTACGCCGCTATTAGCAATATTCCAGCAGTATCACGCCGGGGGACACCAGAAATGGGCTTCACACATTGTACCCATGTCGGGAATCGAACCCGGGTCTTCGGCGTGACGAGCGAAGGCTTTAACCACTAGGCTACCCGACCGCCCTTAACATTAATGGAAGCATATACATGTTTATTGAATATTTGTTGTGTGTTACTATTTATGTCAGGAGTAGACACTAGCAATCCCTCGACCTGATCAATATGTTTATCAAAAACATTCATATCTTTTCTGTTAATAAGCAAGGTGGCGATCTATAGCCCGTTTTTATAATGTGTTGTCAAATGATTCTGTTAATTATCTCTTTTAACATATTCAAACTAGTTTTACGATATGCTAGTTTTTATACTGCCCTTCGTCGGCAGAATTTTGTACTACTTAATATATATTGTTAATGTCAATTTTGTTTCGTCACGATATGGCTGAAATATTGCCGATGTGACGTTAAGCTTTAACTCACTCACTCACTAATAAGCAAGGCTACCCCACGGCTATCATTACTGCCACGTGACAGGATTATTTTATGACCCCATTGTGATGTCATTATCTTTTTATCTTCTTCAATACTGTGTGTCTCCTGCTACAAAATTATGTCAAGTTCCTGATCTTTCTAAAATATTTATATTCCCCTTCTCTTTTGACTACCCCTCAAACCCCTTGCATTACCAGTTGCTAACTTCAAATGTACCACACTGGGTGGAAAAATAGAAACAGTATACAAAGATATAGCACAAATGGGAGTTCTAAACGTACACTATGGTCTCAAGGAATAAATCCAGGAATAAATCTGAATGAGTGAGTTGGGTTTAACGCCGCTTTTAACAGTATTACAGTAATATCACTGCGTGTCAGTTTAATTTCGGAGGAAAGCCCGAAGTGATGCAGGTGTCAGACGTTTACCACTTCGGTGACTCCCACGAGCACGGGAATGGTGCTGACAAACCTAGAAACATAATCTGGGCGAACCGGGATTCGAACCCACAATCATATATTTCTTGCGTGCCCAAGGGACGCAACTCTGCACAGCGAATCGGGCGCCCAGTCCCCGTGCCTCAAATCTGAATGGTGTAAGGCAGAGAACAAACACCGATATTAAGACAGTGCCTCTACCCTTTTCTCTCATAACGTAATTTTCATAATGCACTGTATCGTTAAAGCCATATGATCATGATCATGTCAAACACATATAATTCAAACTCTCATGACCTATCCCTGATAATGTATATAGTGTAACAACCGAAAGATTAAAATGTTCTAGCCATGGATTAATGATACAAAACATGATATTTCCCAGGTCCCCTAACAAATCTCCTTGTTTACATGATAAATATTGCTTCGTATGCAAATGATACATGGATTAAATACCTCGTGCTTTGATAGCATGAAAATCCCCTCATTTGCTTAATATAAATTTCTGTCACAAAAAATGTGTCTTTTTTAGTCAAGTTAATACTGTGCAATCCGTTACAGTATTTCTTTTTTAAAACTTACTAAAAACTAACAACACACATATTTATTTATTGAGTGAGTGAGTGAGTGAGTTGGGGTTTAACGCCTCTTTTAACAGTATTCCAGTTATATCGCGGCGTGTCAGCTTAATGTGGGAGGAAAGCCCGAAGTGATGCAGGTCTCAGACGCTTACCACTTCGGTGAAACCCACGAGCACGGGGAGGGTGCTGACAAACCTAGAAACATAATTGGGGCGAACCGGGATTCGAACCCACAATCATAGGTTTCTGGCGTGACCAAGGGACGCAACTCTGCACAGCGAATCGCGGCGCCTTAGACGACGACGAGTATTTCGTGAGCAAAGCCATAATCTTTGATATCGAGACATGAACATGATCGACAGTATTCTTGAAACACGTATTTATTAATAATCATGTCAAATCTTCCATATCAAGAGGTCATATCTTGCAAGTGGCTGTGTTGTATCCTTGGACAAGGTCATTGACTCCACTTGTCACGCTGTGATAAGACTGACACTATTGTTGACTGTGATGTGAAATGCCCATTAAGCATCCCTTACCCTTACCCCGGAAAAAACAACAACATAAACATATATTATAAAATAGTTTATTGCAATAACCCAAACTGAGAGCAAAAGAAACGTTACCAACCAACATTGTTTGTTCCTAAAAACCAAACAGGACCAGTGTCAAGGCAGAAACTCGTATTGTCAAAAGACATGAATTAACATTATTACAAGTTATGGGGGAGGTCGGGTAGCCTAGTGGTTAAAGCGTTCGTTCGTCACGCAAAAGACCCGGGTTCGATTCCCGACATGGGTACATTGTGTGAAGCCCATTTCTGGTGTCCCCCACCGTGATATTGCTGGAATATTGCTAAAACCGGCGTAAAACCATACTCACTCACTATAACAAGTTATGCCTTGAATGAGAACAAAAATGAAGGGATTGTGCCCTCAGTCTGGAGGATGGGGCCAGTTGTTCAGTAATCGATCAACCATCAAGACTGCAATCAGCACATGAAGCCCCCTTAATCCTTCAGAATGTCACACTTGTCAGTCAGTGTTGTATATGTCCACCACGGGAATCAATGCACCCCGAGGGGGGCACGGGTGCCCCAGTCGTCTAAGGCGCGGCGATTCGCTGTGCAGGGTTGCGTCACTTAGGCACGCCAGAAACCTATGATTGTGGGTTCGAATCCCGGTTCCCCCGATTATGTTTCTAGGTGTGTCAGCACCATACCCGTACTCATCGAAGTAGTAAGCGTCTGAGACCTGCATCACTTCGGGCTTTCCTCCCACATTAAGCTGACACGCCGTGATATTACTGGAATACTGTTAAAAGCGGCGTTAAACGCTTCACTCACTCACTCACTCAATGCACGCCCGACTCAACGACAAGCAGAAGATGTGAGACGTCTGATTACAAGAAAAGGGTTTAACGCCATTCTACTCGGAGGGCCTGTGCTGCCTGATCCTTGTTATAAGGGCGACCTGGTCGTGCTCTAATTTACGGTCGAGGTCATCCCACAAGTGTTCTATAGGTGATAAGTCTGGTGATTGTGCTGGCCAAGGCAAGACTGTGTGGGACCTTGTGTTATCTTGTTGAAACAGGGTCCGGACATTCTATTGCAAGAACGGTGGCACAACAGGGTAGAGACACTGGTCAATGTGACGCTGTCCAGTGATGGTTCCTTCCAAAATCACAAGATCTTTTTTGACAGGGCTACAGATGCCGCATTGGTATGGCTACAGATGCCGCAATGACAGAGCTACAGATGCCGCCTTGACAGGGCTACAGATGCCGCATTGACAGGGCTACAGATGCCGCCTTGACAGAGCTACAGATACCACATTGACAGGGCTACAGATGCCGCCTTGACAGGGCTACAGGTGCCGCATTGACAGGGCTACAGATGCCGCAATGACAGGGCTACAGATGCCACCTTGACAGGGCTACAGATGCTGCATTGACAGGGCTACAGATGCCGCATTGACAGAGCTACAGATACCACATTGACAGGGCTACAGATGCCGCCTTGACAGGGCTACAGATGCCGCCCTGACAGGGCTACAGATGCCGCATTGACAGGGCTACAGATGCCGCATTGACAGGGCTACAGATGCCGCATTGACAGGGCTACAGATGTCGCCTTGACAGGGCTACAGATGCCGCATTGATAGGGCTACAGATGCCGCATTGACAGGGCTACAGATGCCGCATTGACAGGGCTACAGATGCCGCATTGACAGGGCTACAGATGCCGCATTGAGGGAGCTACAGATGCCGCATTGAGGGAGCTACAGATGCCGCATTGACAGGGCTACAGATGCCGCATTGACAGGGCTACAGATGCTGCATTGACGGGGCTATAGATGCTGCATTGACAGGGCTACGGATGCTGCATTGACAGGGCTACAGATGCCACATTGACAGGGCTACAGATGCCACATTGACAGGGCTACAGATGCCGCATTGACAGGGCTACAGATGCCGCATTGACAGGGCTACAGATGCCGCCTTGACAGAGCTACAGATGCCGCACTGACAGGGCTACAGATGCCGCACTGACAGGGCTACAGGTGCCGCCTTGACAGAGCTACAGATGTCGCCTTGACAGGGCTACAGATGCCGCATTGACAGGGCTACGGATGCTGCATTGACAGGGCTACAGATGCCGCATTGACAGGGCTACAGATGCCGCATTGACAGAGCTACAGATGCCGCCTTGACAGGGCTACAGATGCCGCATTGACAGGGCTACAGATGCCGCCTTGACAGAGCTACAGATGCCGCATTGACAGGGCTACAGATGCCGCATTGACAGGGCTACAGATGTCGCCTTGACAGAGCTACAGATGCCGCACTGACAGGGCTACAGATGCCGCACTGACAGGGCTACAGGTGCCGCCTTGACAGAGCTACAGATGTCGCCTTGACAGGGCTACAGATGCCGCATTGACAGGGCTACAGATGCCGCATTGACAGGGCTACAGATGCCGCATTGACAGGGCTACAGATGCCGCCTTGACAGAGCTACAGATGCCGCATTGACAGGGCTACAGATGCCGCATTGACAGGGCTACAGATGCCGCCTTGACAGGGCTACAGATGCAGCATTGACAGGGCTACAGATGCCGCATTGGTATGGCTACAGATGCCGCCTTGACAGGCCTACAGATGCCGCATTGACAGGCCTACAGATGCCGCATTGACAGGGCTACAGATGCCGCATTGACAGGGCTACAGATGCCGCATTTACAGGGCTACAGATGCCGCGTAGACGGGGCTACAGATGCCACATTGACAGGGCTACAGATGCCGCATTTACAGGGCTACAGATGCCGCATTTACAGGGCTACAGATGCCGTATTGACAGGGCTACAGATGCTACATTGACAGGGCTACAGATGCCGCATTGACAGGGCTACAGATGCCGCGTAGACGGGGCTACAGATGCCACATTGACAGGGCTACAGATGCCGCATTTACAGGGCTACAGATGCCGTATTGACAGGGCTACAGATGCTACATTGACAGGGCTACAGATGCTGCTTTGACAGGGCTACAGATGCTGCATTTACAGGGCCACAGATGCCGGATTGGTATGGCTACAGATGCTGCGTTGGTATGGCTACAGATGCCGCATTGACAGGGCTATAGATGCTTCATTGACAGGGCTACAGCTACAGATGCTGCATTGATATTGCTACAGATGCCGCATTGACAGGGGTATAGATGCTGCATTGACAGGGCTACAGATGCTGCATTGACAGGGCTACAGATGCTGGATTGACAGGGCTACAGATGCTGCATTGACCGGGCTACAGATGCTGCATTGACAGGGCTACATATGCTGCGTTGACAGGACTAAAGATATTGCATTGACAGGGCTACAGATGCCACATTGACAGGGCTACAGATGCCGCATTGACAGGGCTACAGATGCCGCATTGACAGGGCTACAGATGCAGCATTGACAGGGCTACAGATGCTGCATTGACAGGGCTACAGATGCAGCATTGACAGGGCTACAGATGCTGCATTGACAGGGCTACAGATGCTGCATTGACGGGGCTATAGATGCTGCATTGACAGGGCTACGGATGCTGCATTGACAGGGCTACAGATGCTGCATTGACAGGGCTACAGATGCTGCATTGACAGGGCTACAGATGCCGTATTGACAGAGCTATAGATGCCGCATTGACAGGGCTGATGCTGCCACCTCCAAACGGTTCGACATGTTGAACGCAAAAAAGTGACGTTCGTTCTCCATTAGACACAATGTTTTCCATCTGCTCTGAAAGGCTGGAATCTCTGTCGTAGATATGACTCTTTTCCAGTCTCTGTTCTACCAGCGTCTCAGTGTTCGAACCCATCCACGCTGGTTATCTGGTATCAGCGTTACGGCTTGTAGTGGTCTGCAAGCTCTGATATTGTACCGACGCAGTCTTCTGGACACTGTCCAGCGTCTGACAGGATGACTGTCGCAGTTGATGACGTCATTTGCTCCTTGATGTATCATTCCACAATTTGTTCTTTCAGTAGTATCGCTGTTCAGAGTTGCGTCCCTTGGGCACGCCAGAAACCTATGATTGTGGGTTCGAATCTCTGTTCGCCCCGATTATGTTTCTATAGTTGTCAGCACAATACCCGTGCTCGTGGGTTTCGCCGAAGTGGTAAACGTCTGAGACCTGCATCACTTCGGGCTTTCCTCCCACATAAAGCTGACACGCCGTGATATAACTGGAAAACCGTTAAAAACGGCGTTAGACCCAACTCACTCACTTTTTCTGTAGTACCGTTAATCTCACCATGTTATTTGTCACTGTCGGTTTGGGTGTGAATGAACAATCGACGTTCCTTTTATACACATATCTATGCAGGTCGGCATGCCGTAAGTGCAACAAATGTTTCGCTCCTAACTCAAGTTCCACTGATCTGGGTACTGCGGCACGTGCATTTCTTAGCGAAGTTGTTTGGGTTGTGTTTGGGCGATTGATTCTCAACCTCTTCGTAACACTATTTGGGGTTTGGACCCAACTTGTCCAAATTTTAGTTTATTTTTGTTCGTCTGTTTACAAGTTACGCTATTTATGTCCATCATCTACGATCTTAGTAATTGCCAAGTACATACCTCCAGCAGGCGCGAGTACAAACATGTCAAGTTGATCAGTTTTCTGTCAATTTGAAGTAAACTGCACCCTGGACTTTTGCAACATGTTGTGTAGTAAAAAATGGCCCTTCAGACAATGGGGACTATCTTCGAGTTACCTAGACTGATTAAGGTACCTATATAGTTATTGTGATCTCTCGCTGTTTAATAAGTTAAAACGGATTACGTAGCCATGGAAACACGTGCTTTCATTCGTGACCAACTCGTGTTATTCCGGGACAAGCCGAATAAGAGGCGGAAAGAGGCGAGTGCTTTAACACTACAATTCTCGCTTGCAGAATGCATATTTCACAAAATATGTAGATTTACTTAAATATCAATAATAATTATGTAATAATCATTGGATCTGAGAAATAAAGATATCTCAAAAATTATTTCTGGTCTCGAACTCAAAAGCTGGCTTGCTCAAACAAAACTAACATGTTATTCCAGTTACCTCCCCTGCTAAATTCTACCGCTTGGGGGCAGTGCTCTCTGTAGTGAAATATGGCTGACCAAAGGGTGGACAAACCTACTACAATGAACAAACGCTTGGTTAAGGTAAATTTGTCACACCATTCATTCTGTGACTTAGATCCAGGGTGACGAAAAATGAATGGGAAAGTTAAGATGAGGCTAGTTTGTCTTTCCTCCAAGATAGTTGTGACTGAAAGCCGTTTATGGACAATGTGTATTTCATTCATTGAGTCCTTCCGTTACCGGGTTGAATGGTCGGTAAATATTTCACAAGAGGTGGAAAAGATACGTTCAATTGTTAAAGAATTACACCACCTTTCTTTCCAAATCCTAAGATAATAGAATTTACACTAAAAATACACATGTTTATCCTTGTAGTTTAATAACGTGAAATCCGAGAGCGAAAGCTATTTTTTGTCGGTGGTATTGTTTAGCATAGAATAGCCCTATAATGATGTTTAGACACACCGTAAGCTTGCAATTGATACTCGTAGGTGTACGAAAAATTAACTTTGTCAGTCAATATCTTTATATTCAGTATTGGATTATATTATAATGCAGTGATTAATGATAAGATTGGTATTAGCACAGACTTGTGTGGTAATTTCATATTGCACACCCTCCTATTTTTGCATAATCTGTGTAGGGCTGTAAAGGGTGTTCAGTTTAGTACAACAAGAAATATCACATATAGGCCTAGCCCATTAAGCTATCAAGAAATATATTCTTTTAGCCCCAGGACCTTAGAAGATGGACCACCCAACCCGCAAAACGCTATGCAAAATGGCCCTCTAGACATGCTAGAGGACTACACAGGCATGCACCCCTTGAAGAATTTCCAATAATTGAAATGTAGACTTAGAATGGTGCCATCTGGAGCAAGAATTAAAAACCTTTTTTAAACATCTTTCTTGTTGAATTTTAAGCTGGATAACTGAATTTATCATATAATGGGTAGGTATCTCGACAGGATAAAGTCAATGGATAAACATGATAAAAACGATATTCGTTGAGGTCATATGCGGATAGAGATGCAAATATCAAAGGCCAAGTAGCCCTTGACTACATTCAGTGTTTACAAACAAACCTGGCGTCTCCCTTGTCATTCGGTGATCAAGTCAGAATTAACCATCGGGAAGCTGGAGAAACTGCTGGGATAATTGCTATCATTATCAAAAGAATAGTTTTATATCCTGAAAATCAGTGTCTAACTATGATGTAGCGAAAGCATTTTACAAGTTTTGACAACTTTGTAGATCTATGTAAATTTGTGAAACACTAGTCTAGTGGATCAGTTTCCATATCTGTGCTTGTAGACATCTGTGGCTTGGAACCTTTTCCCCAAATTAAGGCAGTTGGATTTGGATGAATTATGTCTGAATTGTTTCGTTTTCTTGCTGTGTGTACATCTGACCACACTTCATAATGTTATGACAGGACAGGCAGACTCTTGTCAACAAATGTGACGTCTCATAGACAAATGATGATTAAATCCCAAATGGTCTAGCTTAGTTTATCACGTCGTAGACCGATCAGAATTTTGATAGACATGGGACACAGGTCTGCTGCTTGTTTCACAGCCTGGATATTTGTATTACTTGTCAAATAACCTGTTTATCTCATCGAGTGACTTATTTGATATTTTGTGTCAACTGCAGTATTTGGGTCCCCGACTACAGCAGTTTCTGTAAAATGTTGCCATTGTCACATGACTTGCCATATAAGGATCAAATACAGTAAACTACGTTTATAAAGAACACGCTTCTAAAGAACTTACTGATATAACATACTTATTTTTTAGTCCCTGGCAATTTGTTGCATATTTGCTGTATGTATGCTTATGACGAACTACGGTTATTACGAACTAAAATTAGTGGTCCCTTTGAGTTCGTTATAACCGTAGCTTTCTGTACTGTAGAGTCGTATCTTACTGTGCAAATGATGGAGTCAGTGTGTTGCAATTTTAACATTTACGAGAATCTGAAGTATATTTCATGCATGACAAATGAGGAGGAAAAATGGCTCCGCCAACTGTATTAACCTTGTGTTAAGTGATTTCTCCAGGTTGTTTGATAGGTCACAGTCAATAACATTAGCTTCAGCATTTAGCATGTTTAGCAGTGCTGTATTTCACTTAATGCGAAAGCTGGTACATGAACAGCTGCAATCCCACCACCTACCATAAACCATCTAGCAATATAATCAGTTTCTATTAACACGGATAGATTGTCCATGTTAAATTACTGCATTTGACGATTGAAAAAGGAATCTTCCATCCCCATTTGCCCACCTTGTTGTTCTTTTGTTCTATTCCCCTGTCCTAAGTCAGAGTCCAGTACTCCGTGATTTTGACACAAAAATCTGCACATACGTCAATGACTTGGACTTAAGAAATGTAATAAGTCAATAGCAATTTTGGGTCAATAAGTCTGAAAGTTTACAAAGACGAACCATAACAACAAATCAATGCAATACCATTCATTATTGGATGAATATATACATATATCATTATGTCCTGGCCATTGCACTTTGTGATAAGGAAAGAGCTTGAAAAAGTCACTATAGCTTCTGACAGTGCGTCTCTATGATACAGTTGATTGGTTTGTTGTTTAACGCCGCACTCAGCAATGTTCCAGCTATATGACAGCAGTCTGTAAATAATCGAGTCTGGACCAGGCAATCCAGTGATTAATATCATGAGAATCGATCCACACAATTGGGATCGATGACGTGCATCAAACAAGTCAGGGAGCCTGACCACCCGATCCCGTTAGTCGCCTTTTACGACAATCATAGTCGCCTTTCACAGCAAGTATGGGTTGCTGAAGACCTATTCTATCCCGGATCTTCACTGTTCCTCTATGATACAGAAAGTACAGAAAATATGATGCAAAGACACACACTGCTCAGAATTTTAATTGCAATTTTTGATGGCTGTGCTTTGTTCTATTAAATCAAAATGTACGTAGGACTAATTGTTACTATTTACTTTTTAAATTATGACACATGTGATGCCATGTGAAGTCATGGTCGTATTTCTATCTGTCAAAAGTCTGACTAGTTAAGCAAACCATCTTCAAACATGTCAAATTGAAATATTATCGGTCTATGACTGGTGCCGACAGCTAGGGCTGTGTATTGACCTTGATTTTGTATTGTAATATATTGACATACTTTAACCTGTATTGCACATGTTGCAATACATATTGCAATATATTGCCAATTTACATTTTCACGAGTTAATTAAAGTTATGCCCTGTATTAATGTCAGATACCATCAGTCAGCTATGCTCTCAGTATAGAGAGCTCCGCGAACAGGCTATCGCTGTGAGGAGCTTAATAGTCGCGATGTGTACACGCTAATTGATAAAAAAATCGTCAGAGGCAAGTTGTATCAGAAGATACTATTTTCCATCTCCATATCGATTAGGAACACATAAATTTACTTATTTATATATGCCCCAATATATTGCTACATTTACCATGTTTACAAATGTATTGCAATACGTACTGCTGAAGATTTGCACTGCAATATACCAGTGTACGGGTAATTATGGTAATACCGCACACCCTTCCTGACAGCCATCTGAAACTCTGACAGTACAAATACCACAATGTCTTACTGTCTCCCCTATCTACCATGTCTACTATCTACCATGTCTACAGTGTCTGACACTCTCAGCTGAATAGGGTCTAGGTCCAGTTGTCTCAGGCTCCGCAATTCACGGTGCAGAGTTGCAACCCTTGGGCACGCCAGGAACCTATGATTGTTTGTTCGAATCCCAGTTTGCCCCAATTATGTTTCTAGGTTTGTCAGCTCCATACCCGTGCTCGTGGGTTTCACCAAAGTGGTAACTGTCCAAGACCTGCATCACTTTGGGCTTTCCTCCCACATTAAGCTGACACACCGTGATATAACTAAAATACTGTTAAAAGCGGCGTTCACCAAACTCTCTCACTGAACAGAGTCCATGTATTAACCATGTCAGGACACGGATCAAACAACAAATTTAGGGTAGTAGTAGATTTGAAAGAAAAGGGGAAATCTGCCTGTGTGACAAAGACATTAATTCCCTCAATGTCAGGGACAGACTGGCATATGCCTGTTATTAAAATGATCTCAGGGCTTCAGATAATTCTTTTAGCTAGTGAGTATTAATTTTTCATGCTTGTTATGAAACACTTTGGGGCTGATAGTTTTCTTTGGGTATTCCATAGGTTTTTACCATGGTTACTCTCTCGGGTCCACTCTATTGGATTTTCTAAACCCATGAGTCAGCTTTTTTGAAAATAATTTTACTTCTCAGGGTTAGAAATTGGCACTAGTCCTATAGTCCTTGCCAATCTGCCCAATAGTTAAGGCATCATAAGGACCAGTAAATATTTGCCATTTTTAAGGGTTTTGCTATATGTTATCATTATAAGGACTAGTAGACTAAAATGTTAGTTTCTACCACTGCAGTTCTATGCTGTTCAGGTGACTTCATATTAGACTAGGTTCGTGTGCTGACCCACATGTTGCTTACATTCAGAACAGTGATACATGTCTACGTTACAATGAGCGAGATGTTGCACATGTATGCATTATTCAGTGCTGTAGAGTTCACGTATGGTTGGTGTCTACTTTCAGTCAGTAACAACAGATCTGTAAAAACAGGTACCAGGTTGCCTCTTTAACCACTACTCATAAGCCCATGTCCATAAAATTCTGTTCACTCTTGTAATCTCAGCTAGTCAAAGTCTAATAATGTCATTAAAATGGACATAAAATGTTGTTTATTGCCAAGTTTGGACCAGTAGACTCAAAAGTCTTTGTCGCAGACTGTGTTCACAAGCTGAATTGGGTAATTGCCCAGTGTTGTATTACTGTTGGGTAATCATATTTCTTTGTGCATATTGGGGCAGTGGGGTAGCCTAGTTGTAGTCCTCTAATTAGGATTCGAACCAAATCCCACATTGTTGCTGCACTCTTTGACACAACTTCCAATCCCATATGGGGTGGTCAGGTAGCCTAGTGGTTAAAGCATTCGCTCGTCACGCCAAAGACCCGGGTTCGATTCCCCACATGGGTACAATGTGTGTAGCCCATTTCTGGTGTCCCCCGCCGTGATATGGCTGGAATATTCCTAAAAGTGGCGTAAAACCATAGTCACTCACTTGACTTTGTGCATATTTGCACACAAGGAACTCAACATATGGTTATTTGAATAACTGTTTGTTGCTTAACTCCACACTCAGCAATATTCCAGCTATATGACAGCAGTCTGTAAATAATCAAATCTGCACCAGACAATCCAGTGATTGACAACATGAGCATCGATCCACGCAGTTGGGATTGATGACATGCATCAACCAAGTCAGCGAGCCTGACCACCCGATCCTGTTAGTCACCTCTTACGACATGCATAGTCCCCTTTTACCACAAACATGTGTTGCTGCAGACCTATTTTACCCCGGATCTTCACGGGTAATTTGAAAAACTGAAGAAGTGTGTGTGACTTCATGGCATTTACTTTTTAGTGTTTATGCTCTAACTGGTACAGTTAGTCAATGGGAAAGTTCTGTTAGCACTGTTTTGATTCTCTCTCAACAGTATGAAAAAAATTGACAAACCTTTTTGACAGACTGAAATAAGAGGATCTTCCTAAGGCAAGCGTGTTAACTGGCTGTAAAAGTCCTGTTTCCACCCTTGCCAAACGAGGCTGGAATTTCTGGGCTATTAATATACTTAACTTTAATTTCCGAATGTATCTAAAATAACTTGAAAAAATAGTAATAATTGGTCTGTGTCCACTGCCCAGTACATGTGACCTATGACACAAAATATATATTACAGTTCAGTGTGGTATGTGTGATAGAGAAGTAAATAACACAAAGGTATTTTTTGCTCTCTTTTTATATGTGGCTATAAATATAACTACCTTAACCAGGTAACTATAGTAATGATCATGATGATACACAGGTTGCTGTGAGAGCCATTTCACATAATCTGAAGGATAAATCTTTAATTACATCAATATGACCCCTGACAGTGACACTGGTTTTCGTAGCCATGTTTTATGTCACAGGTTTATATCTACATGATCTACCATGAAGTTAACACTACAAAATAGAGATAGTCAAACAAAGAGCTCGGTCATCATGGTCAGTGTTCCCCCTGGCTTTTCAAAATGCCAGTCCCAGTAGATTGGCAACTGTAAAAATTACCTATCCCACCCAATTTTTGTCTGTCTCAACTTTGAACAAATAAGAATGGTAGGAAAATTACCTGGTTTTAATTCTTTCAACATCAATTTCAGTGCAGTGTACTTTCATGGCTGACAAGTTCAGTGACGTCATTTCTGAAGTAAATTATTTACTAAAGTCCTCATGGAAATGGAAAAAAACTGTTTTGCTGGATTTAATAATCGACACAAAGCATTACGTAGATGTAAATACGAAATAACGAAACAACTGGAAAAGTACTAGTCTGGATTTGCTAGTTTTTTCTCAGTGCTCAATACAAAATGTACTTTACAGGAGGTAATTTGTAGGCACTTTCAACATTCAAAAATAAAACTAAGTCCAAATTGACATGGCAGAAACAGGCTATAGGCATTATAGGCATTATGCAAATTAACCTGGAAAAAAGTGATCAAAACAACAATAAAAATAACAGCTATGTTTATGTACATAATAATAATGACATGTAAGTTGTTGTTTGAGAAGGGAATATGTTACTTTTACGTTCTGATATTTTGACGATGATTCACTATCCCACAATGACGCCACTCACAAATCACTTACCACTGACAAATCACATGCACATGGGTTTCAAGCACCTGTTTTCACCTGTCATCAAGGTGTCATAGGTCATGGACATTCACCTTGATCTACTAACCCCTGGTTATGCTCAGTTTCACAATAGTCTGTTTTGTTCATATTTTTACACACTTTTACGTGTAAAAAGACATAAAAACCTTTGATACGCTGTATTTGTGCCAAGGCCCAGTTAGTACTAATTGAGTTGTTTGAATATTTATATATTTTGTATATTAACTGCATTTATTTAAAATCTGAGATAAAAAAAACTTCTTTTTCATTTCCGTGAGTACTTTAGTAGATCTACACGTCATTCACACAAAGTTCAGTTTCTTTTTTTTCTGAATATTTCACTTTGATTCAATACTTAGTCACTACAAATAGGTATTTAACCTCGAAGCAAAGCAAAATATTATTTCCCTGGACTGAAAAGACAATGGGAAACCTTAATAACAGATGAGCTGACTTTTTTCGAAAAATATACTTTTTTGACTGTTGACAGTGTTTTGTTCAACAACAAAGATTCATATTATTTGCTGGTCCACAGCAACTAGCAGTCACAAGAATAAGCAGTTCAAGCCTAATTTTACTGGTAAAAAGCTGGTAATTACCGGTAAACGGGAACACTGATGGTGTTGCATTGTTGTTAAATGAACTCTGCCATGGAAAAGATAGCGCCAGTGATGATACCATGGAAGCCAATAAACAATGCTTAGCTGAATGTGATTACAAGTGGGAGTGATATTATATAGTGTTACCATAGTTACAAGAAGTATTGAGACGATTGGTCCCGGAATTTGTGTTTTGTATACTGGGTAGGTATTCTGTCTCCAAGACCCTAGAGAATAAATTGAAAAAGGAGTCCAACTCAAGTCTAGAATGATTTGTCAAGTCTAAATTGCCTCAGCTCCTCAATTTAAGGATTGTACTGGGCTCCATTTGGATATTATTATTATTTTTGTTATTTTGTAGATATATATTTTTAAATAAAATAATTTATTTCTGGGACTAAATGTCAGTCTAGTAGGTAGGTTAGCCTTGTGGCATCTTGTGGATAAGCGGTTTGTCGTGATCATGATGATTTTGCTGAAATATTGCTGAAAGTGACGTAAAACCAACCTCACTCATTCAAAAGTTTTTTTTCCATTGCAACATTTGTTTGTGGTCATCATTGTCATATTTTCCAATGTTATTTCAATTTCACAGAGAACATGTTCAACATGGTTGATTATGATTATTATCAAACATCGAAGCAGTATTACTTGGAATGTTCTATGCATGAACATGATGAATAGAACAATATTGATATATTGAGCGTTAATGGGATTTTCTACAGGGTGTCAGCAGGTCGATGGTAATGGAGTGTGTAAACAGTAAATGATCGTCATGGAAATATTCAGTAAGAACATTCACCTTTCAGGGTTTTTTTTATGAAAAAATGTAAAGAACATGTTTTTGTTTAAACAGTGCAGATTTGTCCAAGAGATGACAGTCATGTTATATCATCCATTGTAAAGAAAATTGTGTGCCTGTCGTTCACTGTAAATATCAATGTATATGAAATCCAATACTACTTGTATTTTGTTTTTTAATTTTTTCTATCATTATCATTAAGCCTTTAGCGATTCACTGATACCTACAATATCATTGGTACAGCATGGTACAATCAATACTTGAATCGTCAGTTTGAGGGATCTATTATTTATAAATAGAACAGAAACTGATAGTTACCTGCTGTAATGCCTGAAGTAGCATAGCGCAACTTGTTAGCATAGCGCAACTCTTACACAAGGACGTGGTGACAGAGGACGTACCTGCTATTAAACTATAACATTTAACAACTATCCCCTCATATAAAACTTTTTTGTTCTTGTTTTTTTTTCGTTAACAAGTTTTTGTTTTTGAGACGATAATAAGTAAATGTATGAATCCAGAGGTTTTAGAGGTATATTTCAGTCATTACATCATTTTTTCCCAATTTGTTGGTGTACCATGATACCAGTGGTATCGTCAGTCTGTATCATGATACGTATTGTATCACACGATACCAGGTGAGATATACTCAGCTCTAATTGTCGTGTTTGTAGCACGGTATACATGGTATAATGTCCGTTCATTTTTAAAATACAGGTGGGTGGGGGCACGGGTGGTCCAGTTGTGTCAGACGCTGCAATTTGCTGTGCAGAGTTGCATCCCTTTGGCACATCAGACACCAATGATCATAGATTCGAATCGTGGTCTGTCCCAATTATGTTTGGGCTTTCCTCTCACATTGAGCTGACACGTCGTGATATAACTGAAATACTGTTCAAAGCAGTGTTAAAACCGGTGTTCAGCACGACTCGCTTAATCAAAAATATGATTTAGATTGAAAAATATTGTGTCATTGCATAATGACCCAACTTGAACCAGTCAATTACAAAATGGAAATATTATCAAATTTGTTTATTGTTTTTATTTGTTAAACTAAACTAGTTACATGTTGCTATGTTTCAGGAGATGGCTGAACTCCAGAAGAAAATCCCTGACGGTGTTAACAAAGTGATAGTCAATGACCAGAATGTCAATGAGTGGTTTGCCGTGTTAGTTCCGGTAAGAACTCCGTTGTATACGACCATCATCACGTGGTTCCTCCATTTTCAGGAGGGGGCACGGGTTGCCCAGTCATCTAAGGCGCCACGAATCGCTGTGCGGAGTTGCGTCCCTTGGGCACACCAGAAACTGATGATTGTGGGTTCGAATCCCAGTTCGCCCCAATTACGTTTCTAGGTTTGTCAGCACCATACCCATGCTTGTGGGTTTCACTGAAGTGGTAAACGTCTGAGACCTGCATCACTTCAGGCTTTCCTCCCACATTAAGCTGACACGCCGTGATATAACTGGAATACTGTTAAAAGCAGCGTTAAACCCAGTGACATGCATCAACTACGTCATCAAGTATGACCACCCAACAAGCCTCTTACAAATACACCATATTCCGTCCACAAGATCTCCCACAATTCTAAAAGTTGCTAGTCATGTGACACAGGGCACCTTATATTTACAAAATGGTTTCCATTCTGTAGCAGACGCAGGAAGACCCGTCTGACTCCCAATCTCTGTCACTAACCAGCTGGTTGTCAGGTGATGTAGACTTGTAGAGGTCCCCTTGATACACTCCTTGATGACTTTGACAGTAGCTATTATGTCCTGTTGTGTCACTTGATTGCCGAATGGAGCGGAATTCTAGTCGGTAGTAAGATATCCTGTTGGGATTCGAACGGTAGAAACATACATTTTTGACCACTAGTCCTTATAATGATAACCCGATGACATAAAACAAAAAAATGGCAAATTTCTACTAGTTCTTATGATACCTTAACTATTGTGCAGTTTGGCAAGGACTACAGCGGTAGTGACCATGCTTGTCTTATGAAGAAAGTGGTTACAATATATAACATGGCTGATTGCTGTCATCCTGGGCCAGACTCAATCATTTTTGGCCAGTGTGGATGTTGCTGACTGTCATTAAGCAACTTTCACTCCCAAATGTCAGTAAGTTTGTTTGTTGTTCAATGCCTCACTCAGCAATATTCCAGCTATATGACAGCGGTCTGTTAATAATCGAGTCTGGACCACACAATCCAGTGATTGACATCATGAGCATGGATCCACACAATTGGAATACGATGACATTCATCTACAAAGTCAGCGAGCCTGACCACCTGATCCCGTTAGTCGCCTCTTACAACAAACATAGTGGCTTTTTACGACAAGGATGGGTTGCTGAAGACCTATTCTACCCCACATCTTCACAGGTCAAAAAGAAAATAAATGCATAAAAAAATAGAGAAAAAAGTCCTTCCTACCTCCTAACTCTTGAGAAAATAGCAAGAGAACTTTGAAGAGCCTCAGCTTTTCCCAACTGCAACAGTGGCATGATCATGGCGTTGGTTCTGTTTCAGGAGGAACCTCCATATTGCAAGGGCGCCTTCAGGATCGTCATCAACTTCCCTGCAGAGTACCCATTCAAGCCACCAAAGCTGACTTTTAAAACCAAAATCTATCATCCCAATATAGATGAGAAGGGGCAGGTGTGTTTACCAATAATCAGCCCGGAGAACTGGAAGCCAGCTACGAAGACTGAACAAGGTGATTATGTCCTGCTCGTGGTGGTCCAGTGGGTCATTTAGAGACTTAGAACGTGGTGCTCCAGTGGATCACTTAGAGACTTAGAACATGGTGGTCCAGTGGGTCATTTAGAGACTTAGAACATGGTGGTCCAGTGGGTCATTTAGAGACTTAGAACGTGGTGGTCCAGTGGGTCATTTAGAGACTTAGAACGTGGTGGTCCAGTGGGTCATTTAGAGACTTAGAACATGGTGGTCCAGTGGGTCATTTAGAGACTTAGAACATGGTGGTCCAGTGGGTCATTTAGAGACTTAGAACATGGTGGTCCAGTGGGTCATTTAGAGACTTAGAACGTGGTGCTCCAGTGGATCACTTAGAGACTTAAAACATGGTGGTCCAGTGGGTCATTTAGAGACTTAGAACATGGTGGTCCAGTGGGTCATTTAGAGACTTAGAACATGGTGGTCCAGTGGGTCATTTAGAGACTTAGAACATGGTGGTCCAGTGGGTCATTTAGAGACTTAGAACATGGTGGTCCAGTGGGTCATTTAGAGACTTAGAACGTGGTGGTCCAGTGGGTCATTTAGAGACTTAGAACATGGTGGTCCAGTGGGTCATTTAGACACTTAGAACATGGTGGTCCAGTGGGTCATTTAGACACTTAGAACATGGTGGTCCAGTGGGTCATTTAGACACTTAGAACATGGTGGTCCAGTGGGTCATTTAGAGACTTAGAACATGGTGGTCCAGTGGGTCATTTAGAGACTTAGAACATGGTGGTCCAGTGGGTCATTTAGAGGCTAAGAACATGGTGGTCCAGTGGGTCATTTAGAGACTTAGAACATGGTGGTCCAGTGGGTCATTTAAGGCTTAGAATGTGGTGGTCCAGTGGATCATATAAGGGCTTGGAATGTGGTGGTCCAGTGGGTCATTTAGAGACTTAGAACGTGGTGGTCCAGTGGGTCATTTAGAGACTTAGAACATGGTGGTCCAGTGGGTCATTTAGAGACTTAGAACATGGTGGTCCAGTGGGTCATTTAGACTCTTAGAACGTGGTGGTCCAGTGGGTCATTTAGAGACTTAGAACATGGTGGTCCAGTGGGTCATTTAGAGACTTAGAACATGGTGGTCCAGTGGGTCATTTAGACACTTAGAACGTGGTGGTCCACTGGGTCATTTAGACACTTAGAACATGGTGGTCCAGTGGGTCATTTAGACACTTAGAACATGGTGGTCCAGTGGGTCATTTAGAGACTTAGAACATGGTGGTCCAGTGGGTCATTTAGAGACTAAGAACATGGTGGTCCAATGGGTCATTTAGAGACTTAGAACATGGTGGTCCAGTGGGTCATTTAGAGACTTAGAACATGGTGGTCCAGTGGGTCATTTAAGGCTTAGAATGTGGTGGTCCAGTGGATCATTTAAGGGCTCAGGATGTGGTGGTCCAGTGGATCATTTAAGGCCTAAGAACGTGGTAGTCCAGTGGATCATTTAAGGGCTTGGAATGTGGTGGTCCAGTGGGTCATTTAAGGCCTAAGAACATGGTAGTCCAGTGAGTCATTTAAGGGCTTGGAATGTGGTGGTCCAGTGGGTCATTTAAGGCCTAAGAACGTGGTAGTCCAGTGAGTCATTTAGAGACTTAGAACATGGTGGTCCAGTGAGTCATTTAAGGCCTAAGAACGTGGTAGTCCAGTGAGTCATTTAAGGGCTAAGAACTTGGCAGTCCAGTGAGTCATTTAAGGCCTAAGAACGTAGATTCCAGTGAGTCATTTAAGGCCTAAGAACGTGGTAGTCCAGTGAGTCATTTAAGGGCTTAGAACGTGGTAGTCCAGTGAGTCATTTAAGGGCTTGGAACGTGGTAGTCCAGTGAGTCATTTAAGGGCTTTGAACGTGGTGGTCCAGTGGGTCATTTAAGGCCTAAGAACGTGGTAGTCCAGTGAGTCATGTAAGGCCTAAGAACGTGGTAGTCCAGTGGGTCATTTAAGGCCTAAGAATGTGGTAGTCCAGTGAGTCATTTAAGGCCTAAGAACGTGGTGGTCCAGTAGGTCATTTAAGGGCTAAGAACGTGGTAGTCCAGTGAGTCATTTAAGGGCTTGGAACCTTTCAATCTGGCAGCCAGGTAGCCATAACTATAAAAATATATCCAACAAAACATAGATGTGGTGGTCTAGTGGATCTAGAGACCCCATTTTTCTTTGAGAGGTTTTAATCCATTTGCAATATGGCTGCTACAGCAACAAAATCTAAAAACATATTTATCGCCACTTTTGTTCAAGAAGGAAGAAATAAATTTATTATTTTTGGGTGGTCTAACTTAACAGTGTTTAATTTTCCAGTGTTAAAATCCTTGGTGAAGATGGTCCAGGAGCCAGAGCCGGAACACCCACTGAGAGCTGATATAGCAGAGGAGTATACTGTCAACAAGAAAGTCTTTCAAAAGAATGCAGAAGAATTCACCAAGAAATACGCAGAAAAACGGCCATCAGATTAAACGTAGTGCTCCTAAGACATGTTTAATATCATCATTGAGGCTGCTCATATGCTAATGTTATGCTCTTGATTCTGGTGACTTGGCCTTAGGAGACAATCATTGCAAAATGCCTTGTTAAAATCCCTTTGTTTTGTTAATTGTGTTTTTGTTAAGAAAATAAAGATAACTTTGAGACATTTTCATTTGATTTGTCAGGTTGAGCTTATTGCCTCCAGGGTGTGGAGTTTGAAAATAATAGTTGTGGCTTTAAATGTGGAAGAACATTTGTGTATGCATGAGTACATGGGAGGATATTAGTTAAGGAAACACGAGACAGGTCTTGTTAAATTATATTGAGTCAAGGATTATATATAACTTAAAATAAGTTAAGGACAAGTCGATTCTTTCATGTTACTATAGCCATGACAGATTAACTATAGTAATATGAAAGAATCAGGTGGCCCTTAACCTTTTTTGAGTAGTATATTTATTTGAGGCACAATTTCAGTGTATCCAGTTATATGAAAACTCTTCAACATGTTCAATGCCAGGTTTTTTTTCACCTGTTTTGGATTGAACACTTTCACAATGTTCATGATTGATTTTTTTACTTTTGTCTGTTTCCTGTTCCTATGGAAACCGTTGAAAAATTATTCACTTTTTTAAAAATGGATAACGGAAATATTTCCAATATATAATACAACCTTATGTCACTGTTCATGTCTTGATTTCAGAAATGGCTGTTTGTTCCGTTGTGCATTAAAATATGTCCCTTGCTTATTTTTTGTGAGATGCTACTTTTTCTTTTTAACCATCTGATATATAACGGTGCAACATATCTGAATAGTCAGTCAGTCATCTCTCAGCAATATGTCCCATTTGATAAGGATATCCTGTTGGTTGGATTAGATTTGATAGCTTCATGCATCCCTTCTCTGAAGAGGAACATGGGTCATCATTGCAGTTTGCTGTGCATCATTGCTTCTATTAACTATGCTAGTATGTGCTAGTGATTCACATGCTCGTGGGTTTTCCCAAGTGGTAGCCATGATAACATGGAAACACTTTTCAGCATACCTCACTTCTCAATGTTAGCTCAATTTGAATTGCATTCTGCACATATTTCCAGTGCTGTACAACCATAGCTCACACACACAACCGGGGCGGTCGGTTGCCTAGTGGTTAAAGCGTTCACTCTTCACGCCGAAGACCCGGGTTCCGACATGGGTACAATGTGTGAAGCCCATTTCTGGTGTCCCCGCCGCGATGTTGCTGGAATATTGCTAAAAGCGGCGTAAAATCATACTCACTCACTCAGTAAAAGGCGACTATGCCTGTTGTAAAAGGAGTCCTAATGGGATCGGTTGGTCAGGCTCGCTGACTTAGGTGATGGATGTCCTTGATCCCAATTGCGTGGATCGATGCTCATGATATTAATTACTGGATTGTCTGGTCCAAACTCGATTATTTACAGACCGCCGTCATAAGCTGGAATATTGCTTCGTGCGGCTAAAACAACAAACCAACCAACCACTCACTCAGTATACAAAAACTGTACCTGACACCCAGGTATATAGAACTACACCGTTCTAAGACCAATCTGGCATGTGTATTTCACAATAGTGACAAAGATGAAATCAGTAACAATTTATATGCATTTATTCACGGCAAGCCACCTCAGTGGCTTAATCTAAGAACAGGAATGCCAATCTGTCGCTGATCCAACCTAATGTCTTGATTACTAATGTGTTCGTGGGTTGCCTATGCTTTCTACACTGACTAGCAATATATACTGTTTAATAACAGTTAAGGACCACCTGATATTTCATGGGTGGTCCTTAACTTTAATTGAGTAGTACCAGACACCTATGATTGTGGGTTCGAATCCCGGTTCGCCCCGAATCTGTTTCTAGATTTGCCAGCACCATACCCGTGCTTGTGGGTTTCACCGAAGTGGTAAAAGTCTGAGACCTGCATCACTTCGGGCTTTCCTCCCACATTAAGTTGACACGCCCCGATATAACTGGAATACTTTTAAAAGTGGCGTTAAACCCAACTCACTCACTCACTCACTCACTATTGAGTAGTATATTTCTTTGCAATTAGCATTGTACAGTATTAGCACCTACGTTCACTTTTTTGTATTTGATTGAACCCAACCAAATGGCACTCATAATACGTTTGTTAATCCATATCTCGTGACCAGTGCTGACACTGGAGAAGAACTTTGAAACAAACTATAAATTAATATAAATGTTTAAGCGGAAACAGACTTGTCAACACTATTGGAAACCCACATTATGGTTTTGTCTGAAAATTAACATTGCTATCCTGGAAAGATTTTTTTCGGTTACGTTCTTCTTTTCTCTTACAAGCCTCTGTTGATGAATGAGCGGATGCAAAGGGTGTTTTTTGCAATGGTGTGGAATGTATCTCCAAGAGCATAGCATTGGCGCATTAGATCAGCTGCAGTTTCATCCTGCCAAATTGGACCGACACAATATCAAGACAGGGTGTCCTCTGTATAATATTTTGTACATTGTTTTCATATTTCTTGAAGCTTTGTATTGTCATCTTCTTTTGAAAGTTTCCAAGTAGGATTTCTAAAACATTTGTTGAGGAGGAGGGGGGATTAATGATCTCACTGCAGTTTCAGGGTCTAAATGGTAACATGGCACTCATCATCTTTGTCTCGGCATTTTAAGAAAAATATTTTGGTACTTCCTTGGAAATTTTCACCCACTGTGACATTCGTTTTGAACCAAACCTATCTATCAGTTACTATGAACATGGATGAACTATCTCTAGTTTTGTTCCAGTTTGATGTTGGATAAGAAATCTGTAAAAATAGTTCACCGTTTTCCTCATTCCCACTTTCACCTGATTTATCAGTGATGCATCCTCTGATCTAGGTTTCTACTCCTATGGTAATATTTCAAGTGAGAGTTGTAGTCTTGACAACGGTTGACATCGTCTCTGTCAATGTCACATTTTAAAACTTAAGCTTTAAGATGAATAAGATTCAGGTATTGTATTTAAAGATGTACGTTCTCTTCATACTGTGTACTAAGTGTATCACAGCACTTGTAAAACAAGTGTTTGGCTTGTCTATTTTAAGATGTTGGTTCTTTGAATTCATGTAGGATTTCTGCTTTGGAGAGAGAGCAAATATTTAAGTGATAAATATTGAGACTGGCAAGAATGGATGCACTGATCAAGTCTTATGTCATCGTTTTGTTCATTTCTGCAATAAATATTTATCAAGTAACAGTGGTAAGTAGTATTTTTTGTTTACTGATGCTTACAAGATGGTGCAGTATGTCAAACCTAATGGAACAATATAGGCCACCATGATGGTGTGTGTCAGGTCTGATGACACAATATAGGCCACCATGATGGTGTGTGTCAGGTCTGATGACACAATATAGACCTCCATGATGGTGTGTGTCAGGTCTGATAACACAATATAGGCCACCATGATGGTGTGTGTCATGACACAATATAGACCACCATGATGGTGTGTGTCATGACACAATATAGACCACCATGATGGTGTGTGTCAGGTCTGATGACACAATATAGACCACCATGATGGTGTGTGGCAGGTCTGATGACACAATATAGGTCTGATGACACAATATAGACCAACATGATGGTGTGTGTCAGGTCTGATGACACAATATAGACCACCATGATGGTGTGTGTCAGGTCTGATGACACAATATAGGTCTGATGACACAATATAGACCAACATGATGGTGTGTGTCAGGTCTGATGACACAATATAGACCACCATGATGGTGTGTGTCAGGTCTGATGACACAATATAGACCTCCATGATGGTGTGTGTCAGGTCTGATGACACAATATAGACCTCCATGATGGTGTGTGTCAGGTCTGATGACACAATATAGGCCACCATGATGGCGTGTGTCAGGTCTGATGACACAATATAGACCATGATGGTGTGTGTCATGACACAATATAGACCTCAATGATGGTGTGTGTCATGACACAATATAGACCATGATGGTGTGTGTCATGACACAATATAGACCACCATGATGGTGTGTGTCATGACACAATATAGACCACCATGATGGTGTGTGTCAGGTCTGATGACACAATATAGACCACCGTGATGGTGTGTGTCATGACACAATATAACAATATAGGTCTGATGACACAATATAGACCAACATGATGGTGTGTGTCAGGTCTGATGACACAATATAGACCACCATGATGGTGTGTGTCAGGTCTGATGACACAATATAGGTCTGATGACACAATATAGACCAACATGATGGTGTGTGTCAGGTCTGATGACACAATATAGACCACCATGATGGTGTGTGTCAGGTCTGATGACACAATATAGACCTCCATGATGGTGTGTGTCAGGTCTGATGACACAATATAGGCCACCATGATGGCGTGTGTCAGGTCTGATGACACAATATAGACCTCCATGATGGTGTGTGTCAGGTCTGATGACACAATATAGACCTCCATGATGGTGTGTGTCAGGTCTGATGACACAATATAGACCACCATGATGGTGTGTGTCAGGTCTGATGACACAATATAGACCTCCATGATGGTGTGTGTCAGGTCTGATGACACAATATAGACCACCATGATGGTGTGTGTCAGGTCTGATGACACAATATAGACCTCCATGATGGTGTGTGTCAGGTCTGATGACACAATATAGACCTCCATGATGGTGTGTGTCAGGTCTGATGACACAATATAGACCACCGTGATGGTGTGTGTCATGACAATATAGACCTCCATTATGGTGTGTCAGGTCTGATGACACAATATAGGCCACCATGATGGTGTGTGTCAGGTCTGATGACACAATATAGACCACCATGATGGTTTGTGTCAAACCAAAATCTAATTCTCCAGCTCAGTGGTCGGGTGGACAGTCGAGTAGTGGTGAACATCTCAGACCTGCATCACTTCGGGATTTAACGTCGCATCGAAGATTATTGCACTTACATAGTAACATGCATGCACGTGTGTGTGTGTGTGTGTGTGTGTGTGTGTGTGTGTGGCTGGCTGCTTGTACTAGTCCGGACTAATGCCGATTTTATAGTGCTAGCCCACTGAGATACCATACTGCAGTTCAACACGAATAGCCCACTCAGACACAGTACACTGACACCGAGACGACCAGTCCTTGTTTTAGCCCCTAAGTGCCGAGCGCCAGACAGGGTAACAACAAGTACCATCTTTAAACGTCTTTTGGTATGACGCGGCCGTGGATCGAACCCCGGACCTTGTGCTCTCCGGGCGGACGCTCTACCACTAGGCGGTCTTCTCCCACATTAAGCTGACGTGCTGTGATGTAACTGGAATACAGTTCAAAGCGCCTTTACACCAAAAGGTTTAACTCTGATTTGAATTTAGGTGGTGAAGTTTGAATCCTAATCGTTTAGGAAAGATGACATATTAGTGACTCTATTACCCATGTATCCCTCACTTACAAATGGCGGTGTGACCTTCAGGATTTCACAGATCCGCACAGAGATATCTATCGGTTTAATGAGACCGGATAGAGACACTCGTATTTGGATTCACTCTGAGGTAAAGTTTGTTTGTGTGAAAACCCATTCCAACCTTAAAGAATGTATTAAAGTCAGTCCAAGTGAGAGTTGGTTAGGGCTATCAATTGATCTGGAAGAAGCCGTGAGGCTGAGGTATGTCCTTTTGACTTTTTTTCATGAATACCCGCCTTATTTTATTCTGGAAAGGAAAGATAGATGGTTTTATCACAAGTGCAGAACGCTCACTTCAATAACATTTTACGATCTGCAGCAAAACAAATCTCTTAAGATTTGTTATTCTGGCGTTGGGAAGGAAAGCGGAATTTATCAAATGTGGGAGCAACCGGACAGAGAATTTCCGGTCGAGGCCGGGATTACGGGTTTATTTCTAACACCACTTGCACAAAGCGATCTTAGCGCTACGACTATCAAACGTCTATGTTAAGGTATGGGAGTTACGATCGCTTTGTGCAAGGGGACCCAGTGTTGCAAATAAACATCCTTTGGCGTTGCATGTTGCTACTCAATCTAAAGATATCTTGTGCTGAAAAAAAATTAGGGATAATATATTTACCCTTGCCTTGGCGCAGGACTACGTACCTAGGGGACTCAGGGTTACAATTGCTCCCCATCAACCGATGCTGGTCGTACGTGGCGACTATATGACCTCGTGACCTCTTGACCTCGGTGACCTCTTGATTGCGTGTCATCGTACCATTACGGCATGGTCGTTCCTCACAATATCAATCATTGGTTTGTCTAGTCCTGATTCGATTGTTTACAGGCTGCTTCATATAGCTAACAAACAAACACATCAGAATAGAATGTTTATTGCTTTGGAGATTATGCATTACAAGTTTAAAATGTGATTATACGTATTTTGACACAAACTGGTTAACACAGATTGGTTTGCCGTCACTAAACAAAACCGTCAGTTTCGGAACAATTGACAAAATTGAACGGCGTTTCGCCTTTCATAAAAGTGATGTTGAATTAAACCCGATTGAATAAATTTCAGAGCATCATCTCTGTACAGACTTGATGGAAGGCCTCTACTTTATATGCATACAATAAAACTGGTACTCAAAGGCTTTAAAATAGCGCCATGGAGAGGTTTTCCAGTGGTGTGAATGGCCTTGTGGCACTTATTTGTGCAAAAACCTTCAAATTTATATTATTTAATTCTTATAGTAATCAACGACTACCTATTTTTACATTCAATGTCGTCATGTTCTTTAATCAAGCACCGGGGAGTGGATATATTGTCCGTATTTCGTGAAATAGAACATGTTTTTGCATATACTGGTCTAGTACCCAGGAGATTTTATAAAATCACTCAAACGAATCTAATATCGGTATGAAGAACTGTATTTTGAAATTTGAAACCAAATTTTCCGCGTTCGGATCCATTACCATTGTTCTAGATCATGTTAGTTGAAGTCCCAGGTTCAACCGCATGTCCGTGCTTGCTGGCTCCACAAAGAGTGAGTGAGTGAGTTGGGTTTGACGCCGCTTTTAACATTATTCCAGTTATATCACTGCGTGCCAGCTTTATGTGGGAGGAAAGGCCGAAGTGATGCAGGTCTCAGACTTTTACCACTTCGGTGAAACCCATAAGCACGGGTATGGTGATATTTCGTAACCGTTGTGGCATGAATCATGTACGGTATCATGTGCCTTATCTATTTTGCTTCTGGTTAAGGCTTAGCAAGTTAATAAAAGTCCATACGGACTCCACGTTTAATTATTGCATATATTGTTATACAAACATCATTGTTGACGTAATACAGACATCATTGTTGGCGTAAAACAGACCTCATTATTGACGTAGTACAGACATCATTGTTGACGTAATACAGACATCATTGTTGACATAGTACAGACATCATTGTTGACGTAATACAGACATCATTGTTGACATAGTACAGACATCATTGTTGACGTAATACAGACCTCATTGTTGACGTAATACAGACATCATTGTTGACGTAATACAGACATCATTGTTGACGTAATACAGACATCATTGTTGACGTAATACAGACATCATTGTTGACATAGTACAGACATCATTGTTGACGTAATACAGACATCATTGTTGACGTAATACAGACATCATTGTTGACGTAATACAGACATCATTGTTGACGTAATACAGACATCATTGTTGACATAGTACAGACATCATTGTTGACGTAATACAGACCTCATTGTTGACGTAATACAGACATCATTGTTGACGTAATACAGACATCATTGTTGGTGAAGTACAGACGTCATTATTGACGTAGTACAGACGTCATTGTTGACGCAATGCAGACATCATTATTGACGTCATATAAACATCATTGTTGACGTAATACAGACATCATTGTTGACGTAATATAGGCATCATTGTTGACGTAATACAGTCATCATTGTTGACGTAATACAGGCATCGTTGTCGACGTAATACAGACATCATTGTTGACGTATTTAAGACATCATTGTTGACGTAATACAAACATCCTTATTGACGTAATACAGACATCATTGTTGACGTAACACAGACATCAATCTTGACGTACATAGGACCTCATTGTTTACGTAATACAGACATCATTGTTCACGTAATATAGGCATCATTGTTGACGTAATACAGACATTATTGTTGACGTCATACAGATATCATTGCTGACGTAATACAGATATCATTGTTGTCGTAAAACATAC